CTCTTAATCCTTGTCTGAATTCTTTTTCGCCCATCTCGCGCGAAGCGAGGAAGCTTTGACGTTTCAATAAATTATTACTCTTAATCCTTGTCTGAATTCATTTTCGCCCATTACGCGCAAAGTGCGGAAGCTTTCACGTTTCATGAAATTATTAGAGAAAGAAGACGATTCGTTGTATCGTGTTCTTGTCTAAATTTAGTTTCCCCCCCCCCCCCCCCTCCCGCGCGAAGCGCGGAAGCTTTGACACTTCAGTAAATTATTAGAGAAAGAAGACGATCCGTTGTACCGTTCTCGACTCTTAATTCTTGTTTCTCCCTCTCCCGCGCAAAGCGCGAAAGCTATGACGTTTCATTTAATTATTAGAGAAAGAAGATGATTCATTGTACCAGTCCCGCCTCTTGATCCTTGTCTGGATCCAGTTTCACCCCCCCCCCCCTCCTCCCTCCCGTGCGAAGCGCGGAAGATTTGACGTTTAAAAAATTATTACTCTTAATCCTTGTCTGAATTCATTTTCGCCCATCTCGCGCGAAGCGAGGAAGCTTTGACGTTTCATTAAATTATTACTCTTAATCCTTGTCTGAAATCTTTTTTCGCCAATCTCGCGCGAAGCGCGGAAGCTTTTACGTTTCAATAAATTATTACTCTTAATCCTTGTCTGAATTCGTTTTCGCCCATCACGCGCAAAGTGCGGAAGCTTTCAAGTTTCATTTAATTCTTAGAGAAAGAAGACGATTCGTTGTGTCGTGTTCTTGTCTAAATTTAGTTTTCCCCCTCCCGAGCGAAGCGCGGAAGCTTTGACACTTCATTTAATTATAAGAGAAAGAAGACGATTCGTTCTACCGTTCTCTACTCTTAATCTTGTCTGAATTCAATTTCCCAACTGGGCCCCTCAACGGTACATGTGCAGTGTTACATGATGTAAGTATGGAACGCCCGGCAGTGCTTGTCACAGTTGCTTCTGGAAATGATTTTTTTACTAGTGTTACTGTTAGTGGCCACGGCCCCTTAATGACTATAAAAAAACATATGCTCTTCTTGGCTATTTGGAATGTGTCAGTTTGCAACAGAAATGGAGAAACGCGCATTTTGTTGAAAATAGTGAGATATCACGAACATTTATACATCAAGGAATTGAAAAAAAGTCATGGTTCAATTTTATTTGGGGGGGGGGGGGCTGGCGCCCCCCCAAGCCCCCCCCCCCAACCAGTACGCCAGTGACAGGGACTATATTCTTCAAAGTGGACTGGAGGGAACCCCGGCCCCCCACTCAGAGGTCGGAATGACCGCATGCGTGTTGCCAAAATGTCCGGTAAAGGGGTATAATTTCGTGCGACAAAGTCCGGCCCGAGAATTGTAAGAAAAGGGGTGTATTTGACTTTTCACCCGGAGATTTCTTTAAAAAGGGGGTGTTTTTCTTTTTTTTCTCTCATCTCTTTGGACTCCTGAGAAATTATTCCGAATTTAGGGGGGTACATTGAGCATTTTTTCTGATTTAGGGGGTCTCCATGATGCAAAAAAAAGCCCGCGAAAAGCCCGCGAAAGGGGGGTTCGGAAATGTTGGCAGTCCTCAGATAGGGGGTGCTTTCAAAAAGAGGGTACGAGCATATGCGTACCCTAAATAACACTGAGTGGGGGGGGGGCGGGGAGGGAACCAACACAAAAGGGCGATTTTGCGAAAATGCGAGAAAAAAAAATCAATTTTTAGACATAGGTAAAGTCCGTACATTCTAAAAAATATATATCAAGGAATATCTTCAACGTTTTACTCTCACTGTTTCCGTTTCATTACTCTGTATAAAGATTAGTGTGGGAAAGAGCGAGCAAATTATCTAAGATTTCAGTAACAGAGGTCGCATTGCAACCGATCTGAATCATTAGATTTTAAGAAAATAAGCAGTCTTGGCGGTGCTTGAAGCTCAATTTCATTAACATTTTAATGAAAGAAGTTTTTGATGCAAGCGAGCGGAGGCAATTGAATACGATTTGGGGGAATTTTCTCTCAGTTAATGCTTCAGGGGCACCGTGCATGCCGCAAAGGCTACAAGAAAAACTGTTAATGACACCTTTGTGTAATAATGAGTTTAACATAATCTGGTTGTGTTTTGCAGTCACATAAAGTTTTAAAGTTTAAAAAAAAGGGGCAATTTATTACAAGTGCGCCTGTGAAGTTCAAAGGGTATATGGGCATTACAGAATGTATGGGCGTCGATAAAGGGGGGGGGGGGTCCCCCTCACCTGTCAGGATATTGTCGGTAAAATTGCGCTGCTGTCGGGGAAAAAGAGAAAAGGGGAGGGCCGGGAAATGAGAGGGAATGGGAAAGAAAAGTAAAAAAAGAGAAGGAAAAAAAGGAGAGAAAGGAAAGAGAAGGGAAGAGAGCAAGAGAAAAAAAGAAAAAGAGGAAGGAAAGGAAAGAAAGGAAAAGAAAGAAAAGAAAGAAAAGGAGAAAAGGAAAAAAAGAAGATAAATAGAGAAAAGGGCAAAAAAAAAAACGGGGAATGAAAGAGAGGAGAGGGGGTAAGAGCCTGAGAGAAGAAGGTGGGAGAAAGAGAGAGAGGGGGATGTTGGGTGGAGTCGCCACGTCGTTGGGAGCAAGAAAAATACGCATAGATAATTATGTTGCTGTGTCGGGTCCGCTGTGTCGGGTTCTTGCTCGATCCTTGTGTACTAGATCTATATTAATGCAGAAGATTTAAAGGACCCATGACATCGAAATACAAGTGGATTCCTGTTGGTGTGCAGTCCTGCATACATTCCATCATATTTTAATATGTAAACCTCTGAATTCGTTTCATACATTTAAATATTTGTTTTTCAAATGTGCTAAGCTCCACCCCAAAAACCTCCAAATCTCAGTCCCCTTGTGACATCATCTGTCAGTCATCAATGAGCTAACTTGAAAAAGTGGCATGTAACTTTGCCAAAGTTGACCACCTGTTACAATACCACAAACAATAGTAACACATATCAGACTAAACTAATATTCTAGAATAGACAATGATATGCAATTTTCCCCCAGCTTAGCACACGTTCATAATAGAATTGCATGCTTCCATACATTATGTACAAGGTGATGCTACAGCATGTAGCAAATATGTTCATTTATATGTTCATTAAAATCAACTTGATAATAACTAAAACAAACAAAAAACAGACAAAAATTAAATACAATATAAACAGTAAATGCAAGAATAAATGTAAGATTGAATACAAGAATGCATGTCTGACATAGCAACTCGTATGTCGCTATTTTATTACGTATTGTAACAGGTGGTCGACTTCGGCAAAGATACATACCACTTTCTCAAGTTAGCTCATTGATGACTGATAAATGATGTCACAAGGGGAATGAGATCTGGAGGTTTTTGGGGTGGAGCTTAGCAAGTTTGAAAAACAAATATTTCAAAAAATATTTAAAAATCTATGGAACGAATTCAGAGGTTTACATATTAAAATATGATGGAATGTATGTAGGACTGCACACCAACAGGAATCCATTTGTATTTCGATGTCATGTGTCCTTTAAATCTTCTGCATTGATATAGATCTAGTACACAAGGATCGAGCAAGAATACCGACACAGCGGACCCGACACAGCAACATAATTATCTATGCGTATTTATCTTGCTCCCAACGACGTGGCGACTCCACCCAACACCCCCCTCTATCTATTTCTCCCACCTTCTTCTTTCAGGCACTTACCCCCTCTCCTCTCTTTCATTCCCCGTTTATTTTGTTTCCCTTTTCTCTATTTATCTTCTTTTTTTCCTTTTCTCCTTTTCTTTCTTTTCTTTCTCCCCCTACGAACTGTGACTTTTTATAGGACAAAGAAACATTTATGAAAATTCAAACAATGATTGAGAGTGGGTACAACGATTCGTCTTCTTTCTCATATAATTTAATGAAGCGTCAAAGCTTCCGCGCTTCGCGGCAGAAAGGGGGGGGGGGAACTGAATTCAGAACAGGATTAAGAGTAAAAAACAGTACAACGAATCGTCTCCTTTCTCCGAAACGTCAAAGCTTCCGCGCTTCGCACGGTGTGGGGGGGGGGAGTCTAAATTCAGACTAGGCTTCAGAGTCGGAAACGGTTGAACGAATCGTCTTCTTTCTCCAAAGCAAGACCAAAAAAATAATTTAGCTCCTGGCCACGGGTTTATAGGGTTAAATTTGTAGACATTGGAACATTGGCATTAATATATTTGTCGGTAATCGGTGGCCTCTACACCCCCTCCCCCACTGAAAATAGTCTAGTGACGCCCCTGAGGATGGGGTGAAGGTTGCCTCAAATATAGCAGTTGAGGGAAATAAATGTCAGCCTATATCAGTGAAGTTGAAGTGGCACACGATTTAGTATAAAATGGGCACAATTCTAATCATGAAAATAACTTATTCAAAGAAGGGGTATTTTTTTTTTTTTAAAGGTGTACAGTTCGTTCTTATGAAATTCAGGGCAGTGTGTCAACCGGCTCCCTGCTTTTATAGCCTAATTGTAGTGGTAACAATATACGGTACCTGGCTACAAAAAGCTACCCTCCACCAGATTTTTTTCTAACTAGGTAAATGTATGACTCTCTAGATGTCAGTAACCTTCACGCTGCATGAGAAGTGTTGAGAATCATGAAGAAAACAAATCTAAACTTTTCTTTTATAATAAACACAAGAAGGCAATGCCCTATCATGTAACTTGTATTCCTCTATTCATTTGATTGATGGCTTTTAGGACGATTAACCCCTGGACAATTATCAGAGGTACAATAAACTCCCCCAGGACGATAACCCCCCCCCCCCCCCCTCCGAGGACAATGCCCCCCCCCCCCCCCGGGATAATCACCCCATGGAAAATTACCCCCCCCCCCCCCTCCCCCCGAAAAAAATGCTTTGATTAAAACCAACTTATCAATTAATTATCAGGGTGGACTTCCCCTTTATGATCAGGGGGTGGGGGTGGTTTTCCTTGGGGGATATTTTTCCTGATACGCCAGCTGCAAGCTCAAACGGCGACGCTAGCGCGCCCCCATCGCGCGGATTTGACCATCACACGGTTGACTGAACATGGCTACTCGAGTAATCTCCCCAGCCCGAGAGGCCTGGAGAAAAGGTAATTTTACCCTTATTTTACTACTTATAAAGCATGTAATTATTTAAGAGTTATCTTTGGTGGTAAACCTATTTGTCACTATAATATTTGAAGCAAAATTAATCTTGTTACAGTCTTACAGGCCTCTAATTTTGACTTGGAAAACTGCCTGTGATGCCGTCTCCTCTATTCATACCAGTCCCGTGTGTTCGAGTTCGTGTCATGCCATATTAAGTGTCGTAAGCTCAAGTTAGATTCTGGGCGCTTGTATTTTAGTTGTTCACAACTGTGAACACTTGGATCAATTGGACCCGTGACTCCGGTGTGGAGATACCCAACTATATTAAACATACCAAAAATCATCTAAATCTCCACAATTGTTCAAATAATGGTCATGATTTGAAAGTCGTTATCTTTCTTATCTGTTTCGTGTCAATTTTCTTATCTTTTTTGGAAATTGGGAGTATTTTTCCTAAAATAAAAACGAAGACATATGTATAAACGGTAGACTCCTACACTTTCTCACTGGTTTCACGGCAAAATTACTGCACGATACAAGTGCATAACGACAGTATAGTAGTAGGCCGGGGTGCAAGCATGCGTGCATGAAGTTAGCAACTGAATGAACATCATCAATTCATAATGTGAATTATTCACTAAGATCTTTGCGCATTGAGCGCTGTACAGTTAGTTTACGTGCTCTCCTTGGCCGATCTGCTCGAGTGGCTTTGAATTGTAGTGAGAGAGGGCCTACTTAACTTAAGCGTGACTTAAGTTCAACGGCAAAGTCAATATGTAATATTACGTCACACCACAGAGATTTTTGACAAGTCCTGCTTTAAACAGGTGACGCACTTCACACATAACTGACGCACACACTGCATTGCAAACACATAAAATAGAAAAATGAACGAACATCTCAGAATAAATTTCCAGGTTGTACCTTAAGTATGACGAAAATGAGAATTGTTTCAAGCGCCAGATTCTGGGCGCTGGTTCAGAAACGTATCCAAAATTTGACCCGTAACTCCGGCGTGGAGATAGTGACACCCTACTAAAACATACCAAAAATGAAGTATATATTCATTAAATGTCCAAGTAAAGATTATGAGTTAAAATTTGTTATGTTTATTACCTGTTTCGTATAAATTTTCTTGTTATTTTTGGAGTATTTTTCGGAAAAACAATGATATTAGTATACACTTTTTCTCAGGTTTCACGGCAAACCGCTGCACAATACAAGTGCATATCGATGGTGGGTTGCGGGCGGGCGCGCACCTGTGTGAAGTTATCTACCGTAATGTCTCAGATCCTCATTTACGGTACATAACTTCACACAGCCGCGCGAACGTCCTCAACCCACCATCGGTATGCACTTGTATTGTGTAGCAGTTTGCAGTGAAACCTGAGAAAAAGTGTATACTAATATCATTGTTTTTTCGAAAAATACTCCAAAAATATCAAGAAAATTGACACGAAATGTTGAAACACACTAACTAAGACTATTCGTCAAAATGCATCAAAATTTAAGTTACTTTGGAGATTCATGTACTTTTAGTCTGGCTGGAGCGGTGACCAAGAAACGTTTACAACGATTTCAGAATAACTCTAAGCACCACATGATACATTGACAGGAATTAATAGATTTCCAATTCATTATTAAAATTGTTTTTTATTTTGTTTTCTTGCCCTAGGTATCGTCCCTTTCCTGAAGTTTTCATGGGATAAGGAGCCTGTTATTGTTGTTTCCTGTCTTCTAGGCTCTACATGTGAGTATTATTGTTATTATTATTTCTTTATTGCCAAAAAACTTGAGGTTAGATTTCAAATTAAGTTAAAGAAACTGTAGAGTCTAATAAATTAATAAATTTAATAACAATGTGCTACAATCAAATTATTAAATCAATTAATGTAAGCTTGTGTCATTGTGAGTACAATATTTTACAATGATTGTATTTAATATCAGAATTAATTAGGGTATGTTTGTCTATAATAAGCTGATTTTTTTTTTTTGTATTTTATTTGTACTTGTTATTCAAATAAATCTTTGGAAAAATCTTTATTCTCTTATGCTCTCTTTGCTTTGTGTATTACCTTGTTTCACACTGACTTTAGTCAGGATCTTCTAAACACTCCTTCAGTTTTTATTATGTTATTTATATGAAAGTTTTATGTTAATTTTTTTGTTGTTGCCTGCATTAAATTACATTATCCTCCTTTTTACTTTTCTCTCTCATAATGGCTTCATACAGTGCCTCTGACATGGTTACTCACACCCAACTCATACTGGGATAAAGTGAAGAGCGATGCCGATAAAATACCCAACAAATACCCAAGTAAGAATTCATCCTATGTGATCTCCTGTACAGTCAAATATTTCAAATACTTCTGTCATTTATTATTCTAGGGATTCTCTTTGGACTGCATGTAAAAGGAAAAACGTGTTGCAACGACCCCAATAAGCATGAATAAAACTACCTTTTCATTGCTCTTGTTGTTCAGATAGGTTTTTGATCAGTAATGTGTTTATTTTGTGGTAATTCACTATTTAAAATGTTGTCTTTGGAGTATTTCCCAGTTTCTATTTTGTATTTGGTCAAAATGTGCTGGGCATTACGGTATTAAGCGGTGAACATCCAGGAGGTACTGTACTGCTCAGTATTTCCTACCCAGCCAACCATGCGTTGCATAGAATATGTTCAAATATGTATGAGAACCGCTTGGGCAAATGCTGCCACAAACCCGTTATTGATGACTTCTCCAGTTTGTCAGCAGTGTTTCTGTAGAATGATGAGTTTACTGGCAAGATTTACAGATTTCCTTGCTAAATTCAGAGTTGTCAAATAAGGCTTCTGTTAAACTTTTTTTTCTCCCTATTATTATTTTTTTTTATTGCAACCAAAACATGGGGTTGGATTTCAAATAAAAATACAAACAGATAGATGAAAATGGTATTTAATAATCCTTCTATGAAACTGCGTCTAACTATCAGGGTAAACTAAACATTCACTTTTGATATTCATTTTCCACAATTTATGTTCTTTTTCCTTTTTTTTTCTTCAAACAGCACCAATTAGATATGTAGAAGGAAAAACAGCAGAGCCATCATCAGTATGACATCAGGAAAATGCTGTTTGACCTTAGATCTTGGAGCCCACCATTATGTTCATCACATTAACCACCATCATTAAGCTCAGGAAGAGGAGAGATTGTCGGGGTTTTGCGCAGGAGAAGAGTTTTGATAAGGAAAGATATTCTTCAGTGTATTTAGAGAGATGAATGACAGAATAGAGATATCAATTTCAGTCAACATTTAGGGTTATTTAGGTAAAATTTCTAAGGCTTATTTCAGTGCTCCCATTTCGGGGGTTCTAAATCTAGTCTAATTCCCTATTCTGGAAGACAATTTAAATTTTCCCATTGTGGTGGTCTGCAAGATAATGTATTTGATATTTGTGAGGTGCATTCAATCAAGTAGTAGTTTGCTGGTAACATCTTTCAGATCTTAAGTCATACACACACATCAGTCATTAACCAAATTGAAATTTATTCTTCCACCCAAGCTTATAATGTGATGATTCTAATGCGCTCCTAATATTATGTGGATTTGTTTTTTTATCGAGTCAGTTGATAAAAGATCCAGCTGTATATAGATATATGTACATGTTTTTAAGATGGTTTGACGTTGTGGAGATGGATGTGCCATACATCTTACAAAGAAACCTATCGTTTGAGAAAAGACTGCGTTTGAATAGCAGTGATATGTTATTCTCAATAAAATGAGAAATCAAAGAGTACTTCATGAATACTTTGCTCTTTGTTTGATGCCAGATATCGAAAGGGAACATTGCTTGAGTGGTACATGTACATGCAGTCAATCATAAAGTTAATTCCTTATGATAGGTAGGACTCGGTGTGGAGAAAGAGAAGGAGAGAGAGAGAGAGTGTGTGAGGTTGTAAAGAGAAATGGATAAAGAGAAGGGTTAGTAGATAATGACAAATAAGAGGATTGACTTAGAGAAAGAGGGTCACTGAGTGTAAAGAAAAATGGATAAAGAGAAGGGCGGGTTGATATAATGACAAAAAGGAGGATCGACTTACAGAGAGAGAGAACATGAGAGTAAGGTTGTAAAAGAAAATGGGTAAAGAGAAGGATGAGGTGATACTGACAAAGACGAGGATTGAATGAAAGAGGGGGGGGGGGGATAAATAAGTGATAGGGAGAATGAAGGAGAAAATGGGAGATGAAACGGTGACAAGGAGAGGGGACAAAATAAATTAAGAGAGAAGATACCTTGTAGAGGTAAATGTGAAGGGGACTTCAAGTTGAAGCAATATGTAAAGCTGACGACATACATGATTGAGATTTCTACATACACGTAGGTACAGACAAACAAAAAATGCACTCATTATATAGTCATTGAGGTCATTTATTAGTTCAACATAGAATAGTGAACAAAATGGAATGTGGTCTAAGAGGAATTCAGCAAAGAAAAACTGATTTGTAACACTTCCCTGCATGGCAATTACTGTAAAGGAACAACTACTTGTATTTTCACTGGTTCTTGCTAATTCTACTATACCGGTAACCCAAATACTTCTTGTATTTGATAATTACAAATCTAATACAAGTGAACTGTACTTCTTCCCCCTATAAGGCCTCATTCAGATATGACATGGTAAAACTGTGGCAAAAAAAAAAGATGAAGTAAAATATGCAGTAATTTTCACATTTCTGTATCTTACAAGACAGAGCTCAGTGGATACGTGCAGGACCTTTGTTACCCGCAGCTGCCATTTATTTACATATAATTTTCTCTTTTATTTGCGGCAATTTACCATGTCATATGTGAATCAGCTTTAAAAGTTAAATAAGTATTTGAATACCCCTCTTTAATATCTGCTATTATGAGATAGATGTCAAGTTTCAATACAATGAGTAACTTTGGTATATCATCCAACTTCATATCCCATTTTCTAACAAACAACTGATTTAGCAAGAACAGATACATTCATCTTCTACCTGATAATTAAAAAAGTATTGCTTTTTGCCATTTTGAGTTGTAAAACCTACACTGGATGGAATTCGATCAAAAGTGATTCCATATTTGATACCGCAAGTATTATGCAATCTTGAAAAATCATACTGAATTGGCATACTGTATCTGAATTATAATTTTCATAAGAGCAATATAGTTAGCAGGAAGAAATATGAATACCTGAACTTCGACCGTGAGAATCAGATGACTATTTTATCCTTCCAAATTATTTTTCACAAAAAAAAAATTATTTATCAACATAACATAATAGAAAACAAAAGGTCCTCTTGAATTCTCATGATACAAATGGAAAAGTAATATGTAATGAATTTTCAAGACATCAAATTATTTTTGACTAAAAGAATGAAATCTAGACAGTTCTCATTGCTCTGTTTTTTGTCTTCTTCAAGATAATTCACAAAAATATCAAGTCAAATTCTTTTCAGGAAATATAACAAAACTCATAAAAATAAACTCTTTTCATTCTTATTCTTCTGTACAAACTTTAAATTATACTCATAACAGAAGAGCTTGCTGCAGTGAACACAGGTTTACACGGAAGCAAACACACAAATTTCAAGCTTTATGTTTCATAACGTTTTCAAATGAGGATTAACAATCCCTGAAATTTTGCTTTACCTGAATGTTTCACAAATAATTTAATACTTCATGAACATTCAAATATTTAACAAATGATCCCCTTGATCATCTTGGTGTAGGTTTACTTCATCTTCTTTATTCTAATCTTTTACTACATCAGCAGAAGCTCAGCACTACAAAGAATAGCCTAAACTATGCCATTCACAAGGGAACATCAACAAAACATTACAAAATGAAACAAAAATGAAGAAGAACTCTTACTTCTTACCCTTACACCTAAGTCACATGGCCAAACTAACTTCACATCAACGTCAGACCGACCAATTTTTGGCCATTAGCGCTAATGTAATTTTCTGTTCAGTTTGTAGTTGGGTCTCGTTGGTGTGACTGAAATATTAACTGGCTAACATTACTATTACTGTTTTTATTCTTAATCACCTCTAATTAGTCTCTTCTCCGAGAAAATAATACTTATCACAAAATCCTTGTGGAATACAAAGGAAGATCATGATAACATCTGATAATATTTCATGATGATGTTCATGATGATGATCATTAAGTATGATATGATGTATACAAAAATACTCGGAACAAGGAGAGTCAACTACATTGAGAGTGATGGCTGTCAAAATCATAGGACGATGTTTAAAAAAAATTAATTGTCTTGACAGCAACATCAGCAAAGTCTTGTTTTATACGTTATGTCATCACAATTCTTCGACATGTGGTCCAAACTTTCAAAACAGTTGCAAAATTTGAAAAATATCACAAAGAAAATACTGTCACTAGCTAATGACTTTTTGTTTTTTAACATCCTCAATTTTGAGAAAAAAATTCTGGAACTTTCATTCAGACTTGCAATGGATTACGACAGTCCTGTGCAAAATACAGAGGAATATGCAAAAGTGATGGCATAATGCAACTGGTAGAGGCTTCTTATATTGATTACCGGTAGAGATTGTTTGATTACTCGACACAGAAAATAAAAACAAATATTTTTCCTGCTTCTTATTGATGTCTCTTGACTATCTTATCAATGAGACACAAAAGTTGTCATGTAGCTACAAACAACGAACAACAACAAAACAAAAACTTTTTAAGCTCTGACACTGAAACTACTCATGGCATAGCAAGAAAAATCCTCTTTGGCACAAAGATATGATCACCAAGAAAAGAAACACGAAAAATAATGTTTCTTGATGCAAAACTAAACTTATCACATAGAAATGGTTCTAATTCTCTTCAGGGTTTGAAGATCGAGAACCTTCTGAGAGTCGTAAGGGCGTAAGTTTGCTATACAGAGTTGTCTGTTTTGGCTCTCGGCTGATGGTACACTGCATGTGTAATAAACAAATTTTAAATAAATAAACATTGTACATGAAATCAAGTCACATCTGATCTTAACTACACTCAATAATACATTAGCACTTTCTCATTCTTTGCCAGGAAAAAAAAGGGTGAAAATATGTTAAGTTAACAAATATGGTTCCATTGACAATTCTTTATGATAAAGGAAATTGAAGACCACCAAACGGCAACACCAACAAATGTTCTCACTTCTTCTAATCTCATCTTCCCTTTCGCCTCCTTTTACTTCATCCGGCCTCCTTCATTTAATCATTGATCTACAATTAACTAAGATTAAAGTACCTACACTGTACCTGAAAAAGTGAAATGAAATGGCTAACAAAATTTCATCAGAAAAATCAAATTTGCTCACTTGCAAATATACTTCAGTACTTAATGTATGAAAAATAGATGAACAATAGTTTCTCTATCCTTAAATATAGACTAGTCCCTTGTCCTATTTAAAACTTTTATGTAGAATGTACATATATGTTTATATATACAGCACTTCTGACCAACCAGGCTTTTCACCAGCGCCTTCTTGATGTATCCCCATCCTTTGCAATAGCTCACTGGCAGCACTTTTCATGCAAGTGACTGGCTAGTGGAGGCTACTTGGCTGGCTACAACACTATTGTAGTCTCAGCTCAAGACTGCCTCTTGTGAATCCTGTCCATGCATCGATTCACCACAGGCCACGTTCAATTGAAAAAACAAAGCGTGCCTTGAGCGATAGGGCATTTGGAGAGATACTTGGAAGAAAACTACTGGCTCCTGGGTTGAAGCCTATACGTACATGCACTTTCCAATGTGTGTATTGCTTCCAGTAAGTTCAATGACGTATATTTACTTCACACAATTGATCATCACACACACACTCGTGTCCATCCATTTTGTTTTCCTCAGGAAATGTCTTGATCATCTACTGACCGAGATTTCAAGAACTGAGAATCCAAGGAAAAGATGAGCTTAGTCCTCACAAAATATACTATCTTTCATCTTTTCAAGGGTTTCTCTCTCGGCTCCTCTCAATATTTCATGAAAAATACTATAGATGATCCTATTTCGATATTTTCCTAATGGTACAATCGGTTTGACTCGAGAACAAATCGTGCTCCTATTCTGACACGTCTTCCAACTTCATTACATCTACATTTCAAAGATAAATTCTGATTCAAAAGTAGAACATCTGGGAACGAGAATGAGAAAATCTATTTTTCACACCTTTCTGGAAATGTCTCGATTTCCCTACCAGCAAAACCAATCAACACAAAGTGCTTCAGTATAAACTGGCATGTACCGGGTATTAGAATACAAGAACCAAAACTGGAAAGAAAGGGCACAGTATAAAAGCTTCTCAAAATCATCTATAACATACATCTTGTATGCTATTGAAAGTTGGAAGACACACTTAGAAATGTGTTTTGACACAAGCATCTCTTGCTATTCATACTGTTTTCAATGTAGCCATTGATGCAAAGTGTCCCTAAACAGAGATTCATGTGCTTCCTATTCCACAAAAATTGGGATTCAATTGCAAGTCTGTTTGGAACCAGAAGGGCTCTATGTTGAACTATACGAATTGGCACCCTTCTGGCTCCAAACAGACGGTATATAAATCATTCCAATGTTCACAAAATATGCACAATATAGAGGAAGCAGTTAATAAATAACATCTAGAAAAACAATTCCTTCTTTAGCACAAATCAACCCAGCAATAATTTGCTATTCAATTTCAAACTAATATTCCTTAACTTCTATTCAACTTACTCATTAAACCATGCAATGTAATAATGATGTGTGCAAATTACATAAGTTTTTACTATCTGAAGAACATTACAATTCTTCACCTACAGTATTTAGCTTTTACACATTTGAACGCATTTTAAAACTGAATCCCCTATAAAAAATATTCGCTACTCAATGCAAATATTAAACTCTCAACACTTAGAAACTACTGAGAGTATTACCATTGTAATGGCCTATATCTTTTCTTGTATCCACTTACATTTGGCCATGGACTTAAAATGATCCTATTCAAACCTCTCTCATCTAAAGTGTAAAAAAAAATTCAATAGAGTTGCACTTGAGTTTTGTCGAACACTAACAAAAATAATGCAATTCACATTCATTTTTGTAATAGGTACATGTTTAACACAATGTTGTCCAACACCAATAATGAATTCCTCCAAAATGCAAACCGTACACGGTCCATATTAGTCATTTTGCTGGAGAGGAAAAATTATTATCTTTAGGTGTTCCCTTTCGAAAAATGAAATTGTTTTGAAATTCACCACAGTGAACCAAACAATGCTAGTGTATTCTTTTGGGACAAGTCTGCTTCTGAGTTATGAACAAAACTATAGTCAGTGAGACACCTCATATAACATATAAGTGCAGAATTTGTTGACAAAAAGAATCTCAAAATTTTGTAAATTCCAACCAATGCATAATGCTGGTGTTCAATGGCTTACAAATATAAAACAAATATAGCACTATGACTTTTAACAGTATTGTTACCTCAACGGCAAAAGTATAAATTAAGTAAATATCTGAATGAAGCACATTCAAATTATGACAACATTCTCTGTCATGATTCTCCAAAGTTTTGCTTCAAACTTTGCTTTGCACTATCTTGCAAATACAGTCTTTGCAATGTGCTATCTCCACTCTCTCTTGATCAATCCTCTTCATCTATGATAATACAAATAAACATTTTGTCCAAGTGTGCGGTACATTTGTTAGTCATAACAAACATCACACCATTCACCATTGCACTTCTTAATCTCCCTTAAACAACTATCTGTAGGTACAAAAATAAACAAACATGTTTATCTTTATGTTTATTACAGTTAAATGCATTCTGATGAATACATACTCTCTCATATCGCACACAGTGTTTATTCTCTTTCCCTAGCAACTTAAGTAGTATTTACAATTTGCACATATTTTTACCATACAAATACCATACAAATAACCAAGTATTATGGGAAGATTGTATAAATGCCCTTTTAGCAAGAATTTTTGCTACAAGCATATCGACAGTGCTTCCTTGCACTTAACAAACACAAACATCTCCATTAAGCTTTGTTAACATGGCGAGGGATAAACCTGCCTCAAAGCAGCTGAAGCAGCAAAATAAAAAAAATGAAACATAGCGCGCTTCATATATTTGTATCTTACTTCATAGATGTGTAAGTGCACTTTAAGTCTTTATTTGCACACAGCTAATTTGGTTTTTTTTCACCCTCGCAAGCCATCTATTTACACATAAAATGGTTTCATTTTGCTGGTGATGCTTGAAAGAGGCTGTTTACCACAGCACATGCAAATAAAGCTTTGCATGTCACAAAAATTTTAGAGAAAATAAATCAAACATCAGACCCGTGGCAGTGGCAAGTAAAAAAGCAAGAATGGAGGAATCATATTGCATTAAACAAAATCATAATTTCACACATTCCATTATATTCAAAAGGAAGCCTTATTTCATCATCAAAATTCTTCATCTCTTGAGAGTTGTTAAATGAAAAAGGCATTGGTTATGATTTTAGTCCTACGTCAAAATTATTTCATACTTAAGGTTACATATGGGGAAATCTGTATTTCAGAAAGAAAAAAATATAAACAGCTGGGTGACCTTTTACCTATTTTATTCTTTTGATTTATGAATTGGAGCCCCCCCCCCCCCTAAAACAAGGAAAGTTCCATTCAAGCAGATAGCCACAATTGAAAGCAAATACTTTCTTTTTTTTCATTTCAGATTTTGTTCTCATGTTTCTAATGATTGTCCTCTATAATTGTATAGTTGGTATCTTTAAATCTTTATTTCATTTGTGAAATACTGTGAATACTTATAACATCAAACAAGCCATACTAACTGACGACAACTTCTCAGCTTCAAGTATGATCGGAACAGGAATATTGAATCAGTACAGGATAATTACAAAAATGTATCTTCAAATTTCCCAAAGCACCAATTTTGATTGCCAAAAAGTCAGAATGAAATCATTCTTACACAGAGCAAGCTATATATACAACAATTTGCCTGCCAAATCTGCAAATTATGTTAGCCATGGAAAATGGGGGGGGGGGGGGGGGGAGCAAACATTTCTACATGCTACAATAATGTTCAAGCTTTAGTTTACCACTGACATTTTCTGTTACAGCATAAGCAGCTGCAAATTTCTATGCACATTATGAACACACATTCATGTACATACATACATACAGTGTACATACACACATACATACACCCTTTACACATTCTTTGATTGTGCAGGAAAAGAAAAAAAACTTTGGCTATTGCTCTACAAAGACTTTAATGGTAGTCCTGCTACAACAAATATGCATACATAATGATAGTCACAAGGTAATGTCACATGTTGCACCTGAGTTTAAAGTACTGCAATACTTGAATGAAATGAATCTCAACATGGTTACAACTGTACACATCATAAAAACATCTTACTCTTACATGTATGTACAACAGACGATCATCGCATCTTAACTGTAGCATCGGTTCTTGACGCAAACATTATCCACATTAAACATAATGCATGTAATACTGAAGATTGGATGGATAACCGAGTCGAAATCTCAACTCATATTAAGAGAATAATTGTTTACAATGGTAGGCAGAGGCTGCTTACCACAACACATGCATAACAAATGTACATATAACAGTTAACTGCAAAGCATGTGTTCCTAGAACGCACATGTTCTTACCGATTCTAAATTCTTATGGTAACTCTTAAAATTCTTATACCTCTTGAATTTCTCATGGTACCTCTTGTAATTCTTATGGTACCTCTCGACATTCTCATGGTACCTCTTGAAATTCTTATGGTACCTCTTGAAATTCTTATGGTACCTCTTGAAATTCTTATGGTACCTCTTGAAATTCTTATGGTACAACTTGAAATTCTTATGGTACCTCTTGAAATTCTCATGGTACCTCTTGAAATTTCTTATGGTACCTCTTGAAATCCCAGGGAAAAGTTTGCGGCAAGGCGAAAGCGAGTGCGCCCTCTCAAGACGTCGCGCCTTGGAGACGAAGCGGCAGACGATGGCAGGGAGCAGGCCTGGCGCTGCTGGAGGTGGTGGGGTAGCAGCTCGCCGTCGTCCCCACCCTGATCCACACAGAACGAGGTGGAGGCGGAGTGGGGTAAGGAGGCCGGTCCTGATTGAAGGGCGTGGCCTGGTAGAGGGTTGCAGAGGTCGTGGGGCAACTGGCCGACGCTGAAGCGGGTTTGGTTTGGCAGGAGGTGGAGGAGGCTCCTCAGATCGATGTGTTCTATCTTCTCCTGGTCACCCGATGCACTCTGGGATTCTAAACAAGCACACACAAAGAAAGAGAAGGAAGTCTTATTAATTGTCTATCACATGTAATATGTCTTAAGTTATATGCTTTATGATACAGTTCATTTAAGCACTTATTTACCTACTCAATGACATTTGAATGCAGGTGTACCACTTCAATCATCTTTATAAACAAAAAGAATGTAGTGCATCCAGTTTAAATGAGTTAACACCCTTCTGGCTCCAAACAGATGAATATGAACTCTTTGTTAATGGGCACAACACTTTCTCCTTACCTTTATGTGGAGAAAACATGGGGCTGTTGAAGCTGATGAGATCCTTGGGAGGAAGAAGAGGAGGAGGAGCCTCAGGATGGGTTGGCTCCAGGAAGGGAGCTTGGTCACTAGAGGGAGCTGCTCCACCCGACATGAGATCACATGGAGCAGACTCAGCTCGAGGGCTGGATCCCTTCACACCGTCAGATTCTGCGGCGAGGGAGAATAGGAGTTGGAGAATAATATTTTTGGTAAGCGTTCACCATTCCAGCTTTGATTGATGCTAAATCTACCAAATCTATCAAAATTTTGAAGGCCTCTGCTATGATGAATATGCATCGTATTTTAGTAGATTAGTCTATAGACCGGCTTGTGGCATTTGTTACATATACATATACACATATAGTGAGGAAAGCTGTTGCACAAATATGGTATCAAACCCTGTCTGTCCATGAAATCATAGCCTCTTATGCATTATCTACCAATTGGTATTGAATGCAGGGTATTTATCAGATCCTTTAAAAAAATAGCACATAACTACCATTAGTATTTATTTGTTTGGTTTATTGGTTTCTGCATCTTTTTTTTTCTAAGACTTCCCTGGAAAATAAAACATTCCTTTACCTGATGTAGAAGTACTAGAAGATGTCTTCCCACTCTCCTTCTCACTGGTTGTGGAACTTGGTGCTAAAAAAGAAACATTACAATCAATAATTGAATAAGTACAAACCTATAACTTCTATTTTACAATGAAGAACATATTCAAGTACCCTAACATTTTAAATTCCAGCAAATTTAAAGTGGAAAATGTGTAAAACCATTTAATTAGCTGTAGTATTTTGATCATGATCTAAGCACAAATTTAACAGGCCATTTGGCAATTACTGTGTAATTTGATATTTGTGAAATGAATATATTTCAGAAGTTATTTTTGTTTATCATCGTTAATTGAGTTACATCATGGCATGAAAAAAAACTTTTTTAAATCTCAACCACAGGCGGAATTTGTTAAAGCATCATGGATGTACAATTTCAGGGGGGTGTTTCACAAAGATCCTAAGTTGAACTTATCTCTAAGTTAGACCTAATAATTATGGAAAATTATGGAAAGCCGTTAGCATCTGTAAAAATATTTTGTAAAGAAGGCATAAAATGTTGGTACACATTCATATTTTTCTATTATCAAGGAGATTTCATGATTTCAAAAGTCTAAAATACTTGAATTTTTGCTTTTTAATATATTTTATTTTAAGGCTACAAATGGCTCTCCATAATTCTTAAGTCGAACTTAGAGTTAAGTTCGATTTGGGATCTTTGTGAAACACCTTCCTTGTTTACAGCACCTTGAGCAAAGGAAACCATCTCTCCTCCCCTACCTGTGGATCAGTAAATAGTATTAAGAATCTAACCTGTGTAATCACTGGGGGATGTCTTGTTGTGCTCCGATGAAAACGAGTGATCCTGATAAGTTTGTCCGTCACTTGAAACTGAAAATCGTAAAACAGATAAAGAAGATTCTCAGTAACTGGAAAAGTATTGGTGTGGTAATCTTAGAACCGTATGAGAAGAAAAAAACAACATGTGGATGCATTGGACTGAGTAGGCTTTTTTCTCTACTGAACGTGCTCTAAAATATTGTTGCAATTCACAAAGATTCATCATGAAGGAAAGACTGCAGAAACACTGGGATACATAGGATGCATAAGTCACCTTTTCTCAGCATCTGAGTTCTGGTATCTTAAGTTAGTTAATCAATCCATGTAAGTACATTTTATAAGCATGACATTTTTTCTTTTGTGAAGGGCTTAGAGATGGCAACATATAATGCGCTTCGTTATACATGTACATCACTGTTCAAAAGTTTCTCAAGGGGGAAAAAATAAGATTCTGACCAGTAAGAAGAAAGTTACTGTATAAGCTGATATTTCAAACATAAAGCAGTTACTACTAGCTAGCAATCGAGAGGACGCAAGCACATAATTTTATGCTGATATTTTTGCGCTCCGGAATGATGAGATGCCAAAATTTGCGATATTCGCAAAAATAACAGCTTATACAGTACGTGACAGACACAAAACAAAAAGCAACACAAATACTCCCAAAATTGGGAGAAGAGTCAGCGGGCGGGCACTGGACTCACCGATGCAGCAGGGGTTGAGTGTGATGGCCCTCTGAGCGCCACGCCCAACCAGGGTCAGCACCCTCGGTACCGACGAGATGAGGGAGGACACCGTGGTCTGGCCAAAGTCGTGGGGTAGGAGCTCACAGCGATGGACGACTTGATAGCGAGACATGAAGGCCTGAAGGGTCAGGGTCTGGTTTGGTACCGAGATCAGGACCTCCCGGGCACTACGGGCAAACTGGTAGGTAGGGGTCAGCTCGGCACAGGGGTCGTCGGACCACTCGTCTTTTACCTGTCGGTGAAAATTAAGCCATTGCAGTTCAGATTTTTCGAAAGCTCTACGTGAATCAGTTTACCCTCCGTATAGTGGCACCAATTATTTGTAGTTTCCTCTCTTTTATAGTTTTAAGTAAAATAAAAATGATTATGATATAAACAAAATGGAAGAAATTACAAGAAATCATCATGAAATTGACAATTTATACATGAAAAGAGTGATTATATATTTCTCTCTATGTTGCTCATTTGGAGACCTCTAGGGATGAGTACACTGTTCTATTAGCATCAGCGTTATAATCTGATTATGGTGTGTTTTTACAGAAGCACGTACCCAGAAAAGTCTGGAAGTTAAGGGTTTATGTTGGCCATTTTGAGAAAAAGTGGTTTACGTGTCACCACTTGGGCCTTAAGGAGGTAAGCCATCGACTTCAATGGGGTGTTGAGTGGAGTTAAGTCTTTGTGTTTCCTAGAAAGCCCACATTTTTCTTAACAATTTGATATCAAATACTTATTTTGGCAAAATATGGAGTTAGGTCTTTGTGTCACTGAACCCTCGATATGTAATCCTGTAGAAACATGCCTAATATCTACTAATATCTAATGTCTCTTACCATGACCACATGATGGACAGCCTTGAGTAGCAGAGTCACGCTGCTGTACCCATACTCGGTTGCTACCAGCTCCTCGCCCCATAGCTTCTTGTGAAGCTCCACCACCTTCTCCACCGATGCACTACCTCGTGGCTGCTCCAGGAGGACCACCAGGATCCGCTGGGTCAGGTCGCTCAGGTGCTCCCGCTCCACCGATCGGAGGCGCTTGTCATCATCTTCAGTCACGATCTGAATGAGGGAGGAGAAAGTGAGATGATAATAAAGTATCCATTAACATTTTTTTAAAATTTATTGTTGTTGTTTCATTCTTTTTGAGAATATTTTTCTCTTCAAGTATGTTTTCAATTATGTTTCAACCTTAGTTTTCTATTGAACTTGTGATCAAGTCAACATTTTAGGGCAGTTGTTTGACGTGTGGTATGTAAAAAAAAAAAAAAAAAAAAAAAAAATCATAAAATTATTTTAAAAAAAAACTTGCTTCCGTAATTTGTAGGGAAAAAAAGGAATAATTCTAGGGAAAAAGTAATGGTTGGCAGCTCTGCACTACGCTTAATACAAAGTATCATATTATTACCCCAGCTGTAGCTATCCACCATAGAACGTTCAAGAAATTTCTTCCTACCCGGGTCCCATGTACTTCACCTGGGTGGAGAGTGGCAAATGTAGATAATGTATAGCCAGAGGACGTTAGTGCTGCAACAGGGATTCAAACCCTGTACCTTGTGGTTCAGTCCAGAGACTTATCCACTGGACCACAACGACTCATCTCTTATCCATACTGCCCCTTTCACTGCTATGAACCAACTCATACTACATCACAGTGTAATGAAATTGAATCAACTAAACAACCCCCTTCCCCCAACAAAAACAAGGGAAACGCTCTTGGCTGTCTCGCCTGCATTACACAATTCGATATGATGAAAATTGAGGTTTGGACATATTTCTAGGCAGGGTGGCCCATTAGCAGGCCCCAGAAAATGAAATCCTCTGAATATAATCAGCATTTTGAAGTGAATATTGACAAAGAATCAACAGAAGAATTATTTCTCGCTTTTTGCTACGCACATAAGACAAAAAAGAAGAAGAGAGAAACGTACCTCTACAATGTGGCAGAACCTGCGGACCAGGGACTCCAGGTCGTGGACGTCGTAGTCTTCCAGACATACAGGATGCCCAAAGACCTTACAGTAGGCTGGTAGCAGGGCATGGAGGGCCAGGGAGTGTTGGCGATTCCTGGGCACCAGCTGGGAGATGCGACGGGCCATCACAGCAAGACGCTCAGGCTCCGTCAGCTGGACGCTGCGCTCGTCACCGTACTCTTCAATCTAGAGAGACATGGGGAGAAAAACACTCACCATTATACAAATTTCTGTAGGCTATAGCTGTAGAACTATAAGTTCAGCTCAGAACCATGTGTTATACTTGACTTTGAAAAAAAGAGAAAGGATTTAGTACAGTTTTATGCAGCTAAATATCTTTTTGAAGATTTTTTAAAAACAAAATCCAAGCATATAGAATCATACCCTTCATTCATTATCCAAAGATTAATACCATGGTAAAAAAAAACACAGACTTGATCAAACGTTGCCTCCTACCTGCCACAGGTTTTTTATATGTGAACGAATGGCAACTGCGTGCATCGTATGTGTATTCACTTAGCTCCGTGCTATAGGATGGGATATGCGAAGTGTATTACAGATTTACATCATCTTTTTTTTTTAAGCTGCAGTTTACAGCGCCATATCTGAACAAGGTTGTAGAAGACATGTTGAGCGTAATTGTTAAAGGCATCGTTTAGCAATGTTAAATCTGAGATGCATGGCTCTAGGTGTTATCAGTGTCTGTGATATGGTGTACTATTGAAGCCCTAACAAAATTGCGCTTCAAAATGATCCTGAAGTGCCTAAAAAAAGTACAAATCTTTGAGTGACCGGTTTTACCACACTCGTTTTCCCCAATAGACTGTAGTGTAATGAAAACCGTTAGGAAAACGAAAAAATTAAATTTTGATTTCCAATAATAAATATCTTGATAATCACACAGGCTTATAAAAGTCATGGGATTCCTGGCTGATCTAAAGGTTTATAATTATCATTGCAGCATGAGCTAAATCCAGGATTTTTATTCAGAATCTGAAACAAAGATTCCCAATCCCTTTCAGACCACAAAACTCACCTGCACCACCTCTGGCAGTGCCCCCAGCAGTTCAGCCAGCTTGTTGAATCCATACTCCCCAACCCGACACTGCCTGCCAAAATGATGGTGGTAGGCGGGGATGAACTTGGAAAACGTGATGCGAGATCGATGCTGTCGGCTCAGGAGGTCGACGATCTCCCTGGTAAACTTCTTCGTTCGTATACACTCCTCCTCTGTTTGCTCTAAGAAGACAGATTAAAAGGAGTTAAAGGCATCGTTTAACAATGTTAAATCTGAGATGCATGGCCCAACATGTTTTCAGTGTCTGTAATTTGGTGTAACACTGAATCCCTAACAAAATTGCGCTTCAAAATGATCATAAAGTGCCTCAAAAAGTAAAAATCTTTGAGGGACCGGTTTTACCATACTAATTTTTCCCAATAGACTGCAGTGTTGTAAAAACCGTCAGGAAAACGAATTTTTAAATTTTGATTTCCAATCATAAATATCTTGATAATCAGACAGGCTTGTAAAAGTCATGGGGTTCCTGACTGACCTAAAGGTTTATAATTATCATTGCAGCATGAGCTAAATCCAGGATTTTGTTTCAGAATCTGAGACAAAGTTACCCAATCCCTTTAATTATTATACAGCAGAAAAACCAACAAATCACATGCTAAATTTGCAATCTAACCCAAATATTTGTATAAGACACATTTTCAATTTCAATTGATCTATTAGCACGAGCTGTCTTGAGCTTAGTTAGAATTTAATCGAGAAATTAATGATTTTTTTTCAGCAGAACTGTCTACTTATCCAAAACACTTACCTCTTTTTGGAATTGATATCACTGTGTTATCACCGTCCCATTCAATCTGATGTTAAGAGGGGAAAAAAACACAAAACAAAAAGAGAAGAGTTCAATCACACATCCAAATTTATTTACCTAAGTGACAGTTCAGGGACCCGTTTCACAAAGCCTTTTTTTTTTTGACAAATGAAAAATGACAAACATCAGTGACAAATCTAGTGATAACCAATCAAAAGCAAGGATTTCAGTAGCTTATAACAACAACTGTCATTTGTCACTGGTGACAAGTTTTGTGAAACACCCCCCAGGGGTCTAAGTCCAGGGCCCTGGTTCATAAAACTCAATAACTCATACCTCAATAACAAATGCTCGATTTCTATGACAAATTCGCTCACAGCCAATCAAATGCCATGATTTCAGTAGATTATATCGGTTATTGTAACTTGTTTAGTATTTTGAAAGGCCCAGACACATTCCTCGGACGTGCACTAGTAGCTAGCTGCCACTTAATAGATGTCAGACAACGGGTAGTAAATGTCTGAGGAAGATGTCTGGACTTGGACTTATTCCTTGCTCATAACTCATCTATTACACATGCATGTATTTTACCATAGTCCAGGACAATTATCCCTCCCCCAAGAACACTTACACCAGGGACAATTACCCCCCCCCCCCCCAGGAAAATTACATAGGAGTAACTGTCGTTGGGGGGTATTTGTACAGAGGGTAGTTGTCTGGATATGTTCTATCAAAACCATTTAGCAGGTCTTCACTTATCTCGAATAATCTGTGTGCATTTCTATGAGAATACATTTCCATTATGACTACAACACAAGGGGGGTGTTTCACAAAGATTTTAAGTCAAACTTAACTCTAAGTTGGACTTAAAAATTATGTAGAGCCATTTGTAGCCTTAAAATAGAATATATTAAAAGGAGAAAGTTTTAGACTTTTTATAAATTCCACATCAAGAACATGAAATATCCTTAATAATAGCAAATATAATTGATTTGAATCAACATTTTATGCCTTTTAAAATAACTTTTACAAAATATTTTCATAGATGCTTACAGCTTTCCATAATTGTTAAATCTAACTAAGAGATAAATTCAACTTAGGAAATTTGTGAAACACCCTCAAGATGAGAATCCCAAATACTTACAGTGACCCAGTTCTCAGGGAGGTCAAAGAGTAGGTCCTGGATGTCACAGATGCCGTAATCAGCGGTCTCCCATGGACGACCGAGGCATCTCTGGAATGCAGGGGCAAAGTCATTGATGACCACCTGAAAAAGAGTGACAATTGATAGACAGTGATCGGTAGTTTACAACTTGTGTTGGTTATGGTGTGAACAACTTATAGATATCCTAAAACTGAGAGACGACATTGCCATACAGATTAAGGATACTACACAAAGACCAATCTTATAAAACTTAAAAAAAGATTGCTACCAAAGAGAAAGACAAAAATACATACTAAAAAGATCCATATATAATGGGATGAAAGAATAATGAAGGTTAAGGAGCATCACTGTGGAGGCTTTTACATTTTGTGTTCATCAAATGTTCTCATCATAAGTGTTAAAATGTACAATTTTCTTTTTTTGCTGTATGTATTTTTATGCTTTTCACCTATAATTTATTTGTTTGTATTTTCCAAAATTTTGCTGCTGCTGCTACTACTACTACTACTACCCAGAGTAAATTGCCAGCACAAACTTATACACTAAAAGCAAACAATGTACCTAGAAACTACAGGAAGAAAAAAAAAGTTCAAAAGGACAAGTTTGGACTGACTGCTGCTTGTTCATGTAGTTTCATTAATTTTATCCAAAAATGTCAATTTTGAATGTATTTACCAAGACAATGAGATGCTAGAGATACTGGAAACATCAGACCATTTTCGTATTGTAATCAAATTTCATGCATACAACTTTGTGAACTGCCTTGTTACAAATTATTTCATTCACCCATTAAAAATAATTGTACACTAATAGTCATAATATAAATTGCATTATTTACTTGTTGTTAGGTAAGGCAAGCCATAATGTTTGTCCTCCCTAGCAACAAATAATTTATCTCATTCACATTCTAATGAAATTCTAATGAAATTCAATGAGAATGTAATAGCTCGTTCCTAAGTAAATTTGAATACTTTTTGAAAATGGCTTATTAAATAGTAATCTTGGAACTATGCTCTCCACGCAGAACTGCCAACCTTGTGTGACCAAAAAAAGAGAATTCATTATAACGAAACTTACAACCAAGCGCGACACACTTCCAATTCAGAAATGACTATTCCTCATGCATCTTTTTTCTTCTCCATATTAGGACTTATAGTTTTTTTTACAAGTAGGTATTTTGTTGTTATTTTGGTATTATCAGGGTTTCATTCTTTTTGAGAATATTTTTTTCTTCCAAGTATGTTTTAACCCTAGTTTTCTATTGACTTTGTGATCGAAAGGGCAGTTGTTTGACGTGCAGTATGTAAAACAAAAAAAACAAAAAAACAAGAATTAAAATTCTTTAAAAAAAAGTATTTTGTAAAAAAAGAACATAATTTGGATGGAAAAATGGAATAATTCCGGGAAAAACGGAATGGTTGGCAGCTCTGTTCCCATGACAAGCTTCATTCAGTGGTACAAACCAAGCACATGTTTGGCGAGGGTTCAAAGAAATGTGACTTGTCCTACCTTCTTACTGGCCTGTGACTTGAGCACCTTGAGAAGATCTTGTCCGAACCTCTTGACCTGAGCACGATGGGTCAAGGTCAGGGTCTTGTTCTCAGTAGCACCAAGGATCTGAAACAAGAAATCGTTGTGAACGGTCAGGATGAAATTAAATAATCTACAAATTAAATGACAACCTAATGTCGACATAACCTAATGCATAACTGCCAACATTTGAAAATAAGAATTAGGAATTTTTAGCACGGTATGCCTTCAAAAATAAGAAATCTCACTTGCAGCAGCAGTATAACTGGCAATACGGGTAAATCTGTACCAAAAAGCGAATTCAGATTCACTGCTCGAGCATGCAGCCATTCGATTCAACGCACGCATTACGTGAACTCTCAAATCGCGGCACATGATAAAAAAAAGTTGTATTTGGCTTTAGCACAAAAAATATATATAAAAATTAGAACAAAATTATTTAAAAAAAAAAAAATTGCAATTTTGAAAAATGAGAATATTCCAGATTATTCGGAAGGGTTGGCAGGTATGCTAATGGGATTAGATGAAAAATCTGGTAGTTCCATATGTTTGTTTGTTTTACCCGACTCCTAAGAATGCATGTGTATGCTTGTCAGCAGTAAGCTACCAGGGGACTGATAACTTCAAGTCCTCTCCGAGGGACTTGGTAATGATGAATAATTAATTAATCAATGCTACTAGAATGTGATTGTATGTTTACCAAAGGTAAAGATTTCTTCTTTATACAGCATGATCAGCTTTGATTTGACATACCTCACAATGTTCAGTTTCGACCCCTTAAATTTAATTTCGTCAATTTACGTACAGTTAAAATACTCTTTTTCATGGTTTATAAGTTTCTTTGGCCTGCTCTTTCTGTTTTATTTTTTAAAGCCATACTAATAATTTTATAATTGTTTACTATGAATTGTACATGAATATGTAATACACTACAACAAATAATGCCAATGTGCAGATAGTATTTACGAACTGGCTTATTGAGCGGCTGTACAGAGAGGCGAAGAAAGTAACATAATTTTTCAATGGTAAATAATGATGTTTCCTTTCATACCTCCAGGACATGAGAGATTGCCTCAAAGAGCTCAATCAGCTTGAGGTAGCCATAGTCCGCCACCCGAACCTGCCTCCCAAAGTGATGGTGATAGGCGGGGACAAAGCGGGTGAACGGGAGACGACATTTGGTGGAGTGTTTCAGGAGCTCTACGACCTCCTTGCTGAACTGGAACAGGGCCGGAGGAAGGAGGGGTGTGGTACGCCCTAGCAGAGGCGGGAAAATCTGCTGCCCATCTGAAAAAAAGGTCAAAAGAAGTAGTTTTGATTATATATGGAGTTATTCTGTTAAGGCACTTCACTAGATAAGTAATAATAATAATAATAAATATTTATAAAGCGCACTTTTCTAATTACTTACTCAAGGCGCTATACAAAACAAAATACACAAATCTCTCTCCAGAATTTTAACAACATAATATCATAAGTAACTCTAAATAAAACCGTTTTAACATGTTTCTGAAAGGTTTCTTGGTTTTGTTACAAATGTTGCAAAATACATGAAAATTACAAATGCTTTGAAATAAGGGAAGTCATTAAAAAAATACAATGCCTCATATTTAGGCAATGAATCCTTTGGAATTTTGTACAACTATCCTTACTTCATATGAATCAAATACAATGTCTTCTTCAATATAGAAGAAAATATTCAAGGGAAATCGGTTATTCTGTATCTATTGATATCTAGAAATAGATTTACTTTCAATAAGAGCCTCAATTTCCAGACACTTTCCAGATTCATTTGGCCTGTGCCCAAATACATTTAAACTAGGCAACTCAAATTCAAAGGCATTTTCCAACAAAATGAATTTGATGGCTCTGCCATCCAAAATCTAGTCAATCCATCCTTGCATGCCCATATATACTAAGTTTATTTAAATCCATTCAATGGTTTTCAAGTTATAGCAGAACAAAACTGAAATGGAGGCGCCATAAGCTCAGTTGGTAGAGCAGTGGTCTTGTAATCCGGCAACCTGGGTTCGAAACCAAGGCGATGCACTAATGCCCTTTGGAAAGGCATTTATCCTCATTACCAGGTCTCTTGGAGAGGACCTATTAAGCCGTCGGTCCTCTGGTTGCTTACTAACAAGCATTTATGATTTCTTAGCATTCAGGTAAAATAATCATCACCACCACTACTACTACTACTAAATAACATCACACATTGAATGATATACTTACCATCAGTGATGATCTCCTCTTTCTGTTGGCTCCAGCAGATGACCTTGAAGCCTTCCCTGCAGAAGGCTACCCTCACACCTGGGACCGAGTTGAGCAGGTGCTCCAGGGGAATCCCCTTTTCAAAGTCCTCATCAAGGTCATTGAACTCTGCTTTGTAGCACAGAGGGAAGCTAACAAGGGAGATAGAGGAAAAAGGATTTCATTTAATTTCATATCTTAATAAAGATAGATCATTTACCAGGGTACAACAGAGCCAACATCATTGGTCTTGCTTTCATTTTGTATCTATGATTTCTCTTATGTTGCTTTTCTTTGAAATGTTTTAGGTGAATTCTGTAGATCATTATTATTTACATGCATATCTTCAAGATTTTGGGGGCTTCACATGACAGCAGGGCTACAGAAACAATTACCTACAACCTAATTTTTTTCATTAATTGTTCACATATTCATGTGAAACAATGCAAAGAAATTCATATTACAGTCAAACCTGCTTTTGTGACTACTGTAGTATTATTCAGACGACAAAGGGAGAATGGACACAAAAGGGTAGTACGATTTGGTTATGTTTTACTTTCACTTCGTGTCGTCGTTTCAACGTTGCAAATATATAGTCTTGTATAAAGACGTTATTAGATATTCCCACATCTCCCCCCAAGCTTATTATCAACAGTTCAAGAGTTCTTATTGATTTCCAAATAGTTTCAAATCCAATAAAAATCCGAAATATAATCCTGTTTAAGAGTTCACGGATATTCTCCTTAATTGTGTTCTTCGAGTCCCGAGTCCATTCCAGTTTACTATTAAACCCAAATAAACACTGTCCAAACCTTTAAAGTCTTGTTCAGTTTCAGTTCCTGCAAAGTTAATCCCAATTTTGGTATTTAAGTTTAACCCATTACATGGACAGTCGCTTTGGTGGTTTCACGAGTCGTCCAGATCGCGTTCGCGTCTCTGTCGCAGCTGTTGGTGTAGAGGCTCCCTCAGGCTGCTTCCGGTTGATCTGCTGGTTACGTTGGGAACCGGTTGAGTCGCTTTCATCAGAATCGTCAGGTCTCTCTGGATCGTTGCTCATGGATGACTCCGGCACTCTGGTCTTGGTGGGTTGACCTTGGACAGCAATCAGTGCACGGCGATTACGACGTACTGTCCCATGTTCTGTCTTGACATGGTAGGACCGTGGTTGTTGCGCTTTCTGGGTGACTTTCCCGTAGCGAGACTGATCACGGATCCACACGGAATCTCCTGGTTGTAGCTCTGGAAGCTCACGTGAGTCCTGACGTCTGTTGTAGGTCATCATTTGATCTGACCTGTACTTCTCCTCTTTCTCTCTCACAGTCGTCAGGTCCGGCTGTTGTACCCGTGGCAGCAGCATGTGCGGCAAAGTAGGAACCTGAGTCTGCAATCTCCTCCCCATGAGAAGTTCACAAGGAGCTAACCCGTTTTGGAGTGGTGACGCTCGATAGCTGAGAAGGGCTAACTGGATGTCGTCGTTCTTCTTCAGCAACGCTTTCACAGTGCGAACTCCTCTTTCAGCCTCACCATTAGCTTGTGGGTATCTTGGAGAGCTGGTTGTATGGACGAATCCATACTCTTCAGCAAGCTTTCTGAAGTTCTCGTTGGCGAACTGTGGACCATTGTCTGAAACCACAAGGTCTGGAATCCCATGGACTGCAAAGATCTCCTTCAGCGAAGAAATCACTGCCATTGTTGACTGACCTTGGAGTTGTTTGACCTCAATCCACCTCGAGTAGTAGTCAACTACTATCAGGAACGATTTCCCTTTGAGTTCGAACAGGTCCATTCCAAGACGCTCCCATGGCCTTGAAGGAAAGGATGAGCTCATCAAAGGCTCGCGGACCTCTTGGCGATGGATAGCACAGGTCAAGCAGCTTGAAATCATTTCCTCCAATGATTTTGATAGACCTGGCCACCACACTGAATCTCTGGCTCTGGCTCTGCATTTGGTGATTCCCAGATGTCCTTGATGTAGCCTCTCAAGGATATCAAGTCGCAGAGCTCTCGGAATGACTATTTTCTCGTCGTAGATAAGCAAGTCCTCTACCACACTCAGGTGTCCTCTCTGCTCATAGTAGTGTTTGAGGATCGGGTTATGTGGCATGTAGTCTGGCCATCCTTGAACGCAGTAGTCTCTGATTTTTTCACATACTTCATCTGCTTTTTGTGCATTTCTGATTTCCTCAAATCTCTGCATTGTCACTGGGAGGTTGATGGCTGATGTTGATGCATATGATTCAACCTCATCTACGAAGTTGACATCATCCATTCCTGGCCTCTCTACTGGCGCTCGTGACAAGGCGTCAGCGGATGTCTGCTGTTTTCCTGGAACATACAATGTCTCTGCATCAAATCTCATCATTCTCATTCTGAAGCGTTGGAGTCGTGGAGGCATTTTCACAAGTTCTTTCGAGTTTAGAAGTGTGACCAATGGCTTGTGGTCAGTTTCCACCTCGAAATGAAGACCAAGTACATACTCGGAGAACCTCTCGCACGCCCAAGTAGCTGCCAGTGCCTCTTTTTCAATCACTGCATACCTCTGCTCAGTCTCGGTAAGCGATCGAGATGCATAGCACACTGGTCTACGATTTCCATCAGTCTGCACTTGATACAGGATTGCACCCATTCCAGTCCCGGATGCATCTGCTGCAATGACTGTTGGCAGTTCTGGATCATAATGAGCTAAGACTGCTGTCGAGACCATCATCTCTTTGATCTGTGTGAAAGATCTCTGCTGCGCTTCTCCCCAACACCACACATTGTCTTTCTTCAGGAGTTGACGAAGGGGCTCGTTGATCTCAGCTAATCCTGGGAGAAACTTTCCCACCTGGTTCACCATTCCCATGAACCTCTGTAGCTCTTTCACGCTTCGAGGAACTGGAAAATCTCGAATAGCTCTTGTTTTGCTCGGATCGACCTTGACACCAGTGTCGAAGATGAAGTGCCCTAAGAACTTCACACTCTGTTTGGAGAATTCACACTTTCCCTGATTTAGTGTGATACCTGCTTCCTGCAGACGTTGTAGAACAGCTCGTACTCTGATGTCATGTTCTGTTTGTGTTGCACCATGGACTAGCACATCATCCATGTGACAAATCACGCCGTCAAGTCCTTCGAGGATAGTGGACATCGCTCTCGGGAAGACTTCTGGCGCTGACGTTATCCTGAACGGCAATCGGTTGAAGCAAAATCTCCCAAATGGAGTGACAAAGGTTGTCAGTAGCTTTGACTCATCCTCCAATGGAATTTGCCAAAACCCGCTGTTGGCGTCCAGTTTTGTGAAGATTGTGCTCTTTCCCAGTTTTGCTAGACTTTCATCGACTGAAGACATCGGATGAATCTCTCGTTCAACTGCCTTGTTGAGAGATGTAAGGTCTACACAAATTCTCACCGAACCACTGGGCTTCAACACTGGAACCATCCCCGAACACCACTTTGTCGGCTCAGTCACTTTTGAGATCACATTTTGCTCCAACATGGACTCTAGTTCTTTCTTCACCTTCGGTAGAAGCGGATGAGGAACTTTCCTGGCTGTATACAGGCACATCGGCTTGGCATCTGAAGTTAACGTGATGTGGTATGCTGTCCTCAGTTTCCCCAAACCAGTGAAAAGTTGAGGGAACTCAGCCTTGAAGTTTGCAGTTTCATCATCACAAGAATCGACTTCCTCCACTCTGCGGACTAGATTCAAGGTTCTACACGCTTTCCTACTCAGCAATGAAGACTCCTGATCTTTGACCACATAGAGAGTCTCCTTGATCTGTTTATCTCTATGCCTGAGAGTTGATGTCATTTGTCCTATTACAGTCAGGACTGTACTTCCTGGACCACGTAACCTCTTGGTTGTTGGTCTCATGATGTGTTTATTCAGCCATGGAGTGGAATCAGACAACACAGTAACGGCTGCTCCTGTGTCTAACTTGAAGTGTGTTTCATTCCCATCTACGAGGATCGATGAACTCCAGTACGTCTGATCGTTCTCGCTGACTTCACCAAGGAAGGGGACATCAATGTCATCGAAATCATCTACTTCGCTGACTCGAGCTTTCCATTTTAGCTTTGCTGCCTCTTGTTTTCCCTGTTCTGGTTGTTTGGCTTGACACACAGACTGGAAGTGGCCCATCTTTCCACATTGATGGCACTTTGCATCTTTTGCGGGACAGCTGGCACGTGCATGATTCTGCCTTCCACACCACTTACAGTTACCCTGCGGAGTTTGAGATGTTTTCTTCGAGTACGTTCCCTTGCTCTTAGGCCTTACGTAGTTTACGGCCGAGTTAGGGCTCTCACTCTCTGCACCTCCCCTCACAACAGACTTGTTTTGTTTCCGGGCTTCTGACTGTCTATTCAATTGAACTGCTTTTGAGAGAGTTAGGTCTTCTCTAGACTGTAGTTGATCAGATAGGGAGTCATCAAGCACCCCAACTACAATTCTGTCTCTTATCAAGCCCTCCTTAAGTCTATCGTAGTCACAGTCCTCTGCTAGCCTGTACAAATCATTGATAAATGTGTCCACACTTTCTCCCGGGCGTTGTGTTCGTTTGTTGAATTTTGCCCTTTCAACAATAATGTTTTTCCGTACATTGAAATACTTCTTCAATGTTGCGATCACGTCATCATACTTTGCTGTCTCCTCTTTCACATTGAGAGACACGATAATATCATCGGCACATTCACCCATAGCATAGAGTAGCGTACTAACCTGCTCACTGTCTGGCTTGGATGCGAGGCCCGATGCGACGCGATATCTCTAGAACCGCCGTGACTATTTTGGCCATTGTTCTGCTTGATTTAAGCCTGCAACTTTATCAAAGCTTTCTGGCAATGGTAGACGAGAACTTTCCATGGTTCTTCACTTATACCGCTGCCACCATGTAGTATTATCCAGACGACAAAGGGAGAATGGACACAAAAGGGTAGTACGATTTGGTTATGTTTTACTTTCACTTCGTGTCGTCGTTTCAACGTTGCAAATATATAGTCTTGTATAAAGACGTTATTAGATATTCCCACAACTACCCATATAGAAAGCCCACCTGGCTATAAAGACCATATTTTTTCCCACTTGAAATCAAGATTCTCATCAAAAATCTGTTAAAGGAAACCCATATTTAAAGACCACCTGACTACAAAGACAATTTTTTGTGTTTCCCTTGGACGGTCTTTCTATACAGGTTTCACAAACTTGTCATGAATGGGGAGTGTTTCACAAATTCCAAGTCGAAACTAAACTCTAAGTTGGACTTAAACATTATGGAGAGCCATTTGAAGCCTTAAAATAAAATATATTCAAAAGCAAAAATTTAAGTGTTTTAGACTTTTCATAAATTCCACATCAGGAACATGAAATCTCCTTGATAATAGAAAGTATTAATGATATGAATCAACATTTTATGCCTTTCAAAATAACTTTTACAAAATATTTTCAAAGCTGCTAACGGCTTTCCATAATTGTTAAGTCCAACTTAGAGATAAGTTCAACTTAATATCTTTGTGAAACACCCCCCTGCTACTTTAGCTTACCTTAGGAGAGACAAAGAACCACTGTGAAGGTTTAGCAGGGTCGTGACCTGAGCAGCGAAGGTTTGATAGGCCACCATCACACAGAGATCAGTGTCAAGCAATCTGTACTGGCTCTGACCTTCAGGGTCGTGTCGACTGCAGAAACGCTCTGATGGCTCTGGACTCGGCTCTCTGCAGTATTAAGAACATAATGGAAACTACTCATGAAGTTCTCTGTTTCATGATTATTATAATTATGCTTTTCAAAGGTCGTCTGTACTAGTTTGGCTAGGAGGGATTAGACCACCCAGGATGGTCCCTGACAGGTTGCTATTTCATCAACTCAGCCCTCAATTAACATAAGAAAAAGAGGATCATGGGTGACCAATGGTCACAGATTAGGCATTGTTTTCTATATAGAGGAAGCAAGTAGATACAAGGGTCATTCCATGTCAAATCACCCAATGGTTTTAACCCGACCATTTTTTATTTTGATGAAACTTAGTGTACTTGTTGAGTGTGATCTGACAGCACCAAATCCAAAATCTTAGGTCAATCGGATAAGGGGTTTGGGAGATACGGCCAACCAAATTTTGAGATTTTTTCAAAAATGGGGGTGGCGGGCCTACCTTTGAACCCTTGTATTTCGGGACCTAATGGGTAAATCTTCACAAAATTTGTATTGTTGGAAAGGGTATTCAATAAGGATTCCAAATCTGCCGCCATTTTGAAAATGTGTACATGTTGGGGTACTTTGACCTCTTGACCTAAGATTTGTCCTTGAAATTGACCTTGTGGCTCACGTGACCTTGACAACATTTTTCATGAAATGTAATCTCTGACATGTTCACTTAAACATATAAAAGTTTCAGAGATATAATATTTTTTGTTTAGGAGCAATAAGGATTGAAAGTATCCATACTTACAGATATTCACAATAAACCCTATCATAATGTATACAATACATGCAATATGCACAGTATAACATACATCTTCCACATGCTTTTTTGTTCTAGGCATATCCATTCTAAATGTCAGCAGTACTTGAATAGAAAATAAAATGACAAGTTCATATAGGCCTAAAGGGTTAACAGGATGTGTGGCTTTAGGCCTCTGAGTCGGTTCTAGGATAATTACCCCCCTGGAAAATTAACCCCCAGGAAAGGTCCCCCCCCCCCCCCTGAGGACAATTACCCCCCAGAAAGTTACCTCCTAGGACAATCTGTCCCCCCCCCCAAGGACAATTACCCCCCAGACAATTACCCCCTAGAATAATTACCCCCCCCCCCCCTATTCATTAAAGGGGAAGTCCATCCTGATAATAAGTTGGTTTTAATCAAAGCAGAATTTTTTTGGGGAGGTAATTATCCTTGAGGGGTAATTGTCCGGGGGGTAATTGTCCTCGGGGGGGGGGGGGGAAGATTGTCCTAGGAGGTAATTTTCTGGGGCTAATTAGCCTCTGGGTGTGATAGTCCTTGGGGTAATTGTCGGGTAATTGTCCTGGGGGGGGGGTGAACATTTCCTGGGGTTATTTTTCCAGGGGGGTAATTATCCTAGAACCGACTCAGAGGCCTAAAGCCATACATCCTGTTAAACCTTTAGGCCTATATGAACTTGTCATTTTATTTCTATTCAAGTACTGCTGACATTTAGAATGGATATGACTAGAACAAAGAAGCATGTGGAAGATGTACAGTGTATGTTGTACTGTGCATATTGCATGTATTGTATACATTATAATAGGGTTTATTGTGAATATCTGTAAGTATGAATACTTTCAATCCTTATTGCTCCTAAACAAAAAATATTATATCTCTGAAACTTTTATATGTTTAAGTGAACATGTCAGAGATTACATTTCATGAAAAATGTTGTCAAAGTCACGTGATCCACAAGGTCAATTTCAAGGTCAAATCTTAGGTCAAGAGGTCAAAGTACCCCAACATGTACAAATTTTCAAAATGGCGGCAGATTTGGAATCCTTATTGAATACCCTTTCCAGCACTACAAATTTTGTGAAGATTTACCTATTAGATCCCGAGATATAAGGGTTCAAAGGTAGGCCCGCCACCCCCATTTTTGAAAAAATCTCAAAATTTGGTTGGCCGTATCTCCCAAACACCTCACCCAATTGACCTAAAATTTTGGATTTGGTGCTGTGAGATCACACTCAACAAGTACACTAAGTTTCATCAAAATCAAAAATGGTCGGGTTAAGATTTTCAGATTTTTTGGGTGATTTGACATGGAATGACCCACAAGTAGTACAGTGGGCCTTTAAAGGACTAATGTTTGGTAGGATTATTAGAATTTTTAAAGATTTTTTTTGCAAGAGGAAATCATAGGAATCCTTTGTAAACCCTGTCATAATCTAAAACCAATCAATAGACATACTCAACATTGACGACCAATATCTGTTATTCCATGCGATCATATCTGATTAAATAATTTGTAGGATCATCATCATCATCATCATCATCATCATCATCATCATCATCCTCATCACCATCATCCTCATCATCCTCATCCTCATCATCATCATCACCATCACCATCATCATCATCACCATCATCATCACTATCACCATCATCTTACCATCATCATCATCATCATCATCATCACCATTACCATCACCACCACCACCACCGCCATCGCTGCCACCACCACCATCATCACCATCATCATCACTATCACCATCATCTTACCATCACCACCATCACCATTACCACCACCACCACCACCGCCATTGCTGCCACCACCACCACCACCACCACCACTACCACCACCACCACCACCATCATCATCATCATCATCATCATCATCACCATCATCATCATCACCATCCTCCTCCTCATCAACATTGTGCTCCAAATCACTCACCTTTGTGGTATAAATGGGATGGAAGGAGACTGCCAGCCGAGGGGAGAGTTGTAACTGCCGGGTACGGGAGAGTTGGATGCGCTGAGCACGGTCAGACAAACAAGCTTTCCACCATGTGTCTCTTGCATGGTGACTGTGTCAGGAATCTGGTAGAGGTCGCTTACATGGAGCTGCTGCTGGTATCTGAAAGAAAGATGAGGTGGATATCGAGGGGTCAGTGACACAAAGATATAACTCTATTTTGGCCATTTTTAGAAAAAGTGGTTTATGTGTCACTGAACACTTGGGCTTTAAGGAGTTAAGTCTATGTTTCACTAGCCATTGACTTCAATGGGGTGTTGGGTGGAGTTAAGTCTTTGAATTTCTAGGAAAGCCCACATTTTTCTGAACATTTTGATATCAAATACTCATTTTGGCGAAATATGGAGTTACATCTTTGAGTCACTGAACCCTCGATATGTTCCTCATGAGATTTTCTTCATAGTCATGATCTGTTCAAATCTTTTTAATTTGCTGTCATCTCTTTCATCAACTATAGCCCTTATCAACACTTCCACAATTTATATTGGGGTAGAAGTAGAATAAACTTGCACATGATTCATTGAAATATTTCACTATCAAAAATCTTTGCTGTGAAACATCCTACAATTTAACCTTGTAATCATATAATTATCAGCCCCTCACCGATCTAACCCAACCATGCTGGACTGTTCTGTCTTCTGCTAAATTAGTCAATCAAAAAAAATTGAGACAACTCAAATAGAGAGAGAAAAGCTCTGCTTTAAAACTTCACATCGCAAAAGTGAGCGAGTGGCATGACACCTGAACAAGTATTCAGAAACGGAAAGAGTGATATCTAGAGTCTTACTTGTTTTCAAAGGCTTGTCTGAGTTTATAGAGAGGCATGCTCATTCCTGGGATCTCCTGCAGCATCTGGATGATCATCATCCTGAAAGAAAGATAAGGATATAGGGGAAAGAAACAGAATAATAATAATAATAATAACAATAATAATAATAATAATAATATGTCTCGTTTACCCAGGGTAGCCTCATCAGTATTCATACTGTTCTACCCGAGGGCCCTGCATTCATATTATTACCCCGGCTTTAACCGACCTACCATTAAGAGGTTCTCAAGCATTCAAGGAATTTCTTCCTACCGGGCACCCATTTACCTCACCCGAGTAGAGTAACACGATTCTACTAATGACCGGTTATTATCAAAATTACGTGTTAGGCAAAATAACTGCCTGGTCACTTGTACGCTCTGTTTTCGCCTCCTAAAATACCTTTTAAATGCAAACCTACTATATTGTGTTACTCAGTACGGGAGCCTATTCACATACAAGCTATGCTTTTTATTTAGGCTCCCCACATTTTACATTGTTCTACCCAGCCTGTTATATATACATATTTCGAAATTTCGTACTTTTTTTCTGTACATTATATTTGATTCTGAATTCTCTAATTTTGTTTAATAATTTTTTTTCTTGAAATCTATTCTTATAATAATATACGCCTGTATAAAAAAGAAAAGAATATAAACTGTTTTTCTGTGTAAAATGTGGAATAAATAAAACTTCAACTTCAAACCAATCATTTGATTAGGATCTACGTCATAATTTAATAATGAGCCTTACCTCAGTCTGTCTGCATTAGAATCGCCTGGAGGCATAATGGAGATGTGAACGAGTCTGGAACCGATCTGACGACGGTTGACATTGGCCAGGACTCCAATAGCATCGCCCATAGAGGGCACCCTCACAACGGCCTGGAAATAACCTTGAGCAGGGGCTGCCAGGAACACATGCAGGACCTACAGATGGATACATTAAAGGGACTTGGTAACATTGTTCAGATGAGAGAAAATGCTTAATGTACAAAATATTTTAAAAGATAATCTGAAAGTTTGAGTGAAAACAGACCATTATTATAATGATAAAAATTGGTAAAAATCCATACCTTAATTCTCCCATCTACAGTTATTACAACTTAATTACATTTTTTGGTGAATTTAATTGTCACAAATCAACAAAATGGCTCTATATACCATTCCAGACATTTAAGTGTCAAAAGATGTTTAAAAGCCTGTCTTATTTTCACGGAAAAACGGTTGGGGAAATTCCAAAATGGTTGGGAGAATTTACTGTTTGAGGGTGTTGCACAGTGATGCCTTCAAATAAAACCATAAATATCTTTGTGGTTTGCAAACTACAGTCAAATCTGTGCATAAAGATCACTCAATGGAGACAAGAATTACAGTCTTTCATGAACAGGTGGTTTTCATATACAGCTTCCTTTCCTTTAAGTATTTGTGTATTCGGGAGTACCCATTACAAGCTTTGCTCATCAGGATTCACGCCTTCTTCCTTGTAATACAAGTTCTTTGATTATATTTATGTTCCTACGTATAAATTGCATTGTTTGAACAGATGTCAAATATGTTGTCAAATTGAATGGAAGAAAATATATGTGAATTTATATTTAAATTGAATTAAATTGAGAGATGATTTTAAAGGGGAACTTAAGAAGTGGTCTTTATAGGGAGGTGGTCTGTCACTAGAGCAGGTTTCACTGCGTTAGCATCAAACCCTGCTTCCAGGGAGAGTAGCAGAGCTGCCAACCTTGTGCGACCAAAAAGAGGAACCATAATGGGAAAAAAGAGGAATTTCAAGCAAAAAAAGGAATTCATTAAAACAAAACTTACAACCACGCGCGACACACTTCCAATGCAGAAATGTCCATTCATCAAGCTGTATTTCTATATTAGGACCTATAGATTATTTACAAGTAGGTATTTTTAATTTTTTAATTTTGGTATAATTTGTGTTTCATTCTTCTTGAGAATATTTTTCTCTTCAAGTATGTTTAGTTATTGAATTTTATTATTAGTTTTCTATTGAATTTGTGATCAACATTTTAGGGCAGTTGTTTTGACGTGTGGTATGAAGAAAAAAAAAAACGAAAAAAAAAAAAAAATTTATGAAGAAAAAACATACTACCGTAATTTAGAAAAAAACAATGTAATGGTTGGCAGCTCTGAATAGAGAATAGAATGTCAAATCACCTTGCAATGCTCACTGATGGCTGCCACCAGGTGGCGCTTGAGCTCTTTGCGTGTGATCTGGCAGTCTAGGTTTGTGATGAGGAGGTCAATACCGGGCATGGGGGTCCAGGGTTTGACCCCTGGAGCTAACCCCATGGCTCCACCACCCTGGAGCTGCTGCTGCTGCTGCCAGCTGGGTTTCAGCTTACTGGTGACCATCAGGGGAGATGGGGCTCTGATTGCAGAGAAAGAGTGAGAGAGAGTGAGAGAGAGAGGGAGAGAGAGGGAGAGAGAGAGAGAGGGGGAGGAAGGGAGAAAGGAGAGAGAGAAAGAGAGAGAGGGGGGGGGGACACAGGAGAGAAAAGAGAAAGAGAGAGAGGGGGACACAGGAGATAAAAGAGAGAGAGAGGGAGAGAGAGAGAGAGAGAGAGAGACAGGGGGAGGGAGAGAGAGAGAGAAAGAAGAAGAGGGAGGGAAAGAAATAAATAAGGTTTAGAATACATGCCAAATATATACTTATGAATAGCCAGTGCATACAAAAAAAAGAGCACATTGAAAAACAGTTCTCTGCACTTTCATTCAAGAATTTATTGCCTTTGCTGTAGCTATGGTTAAAACAATAGGCACAAAGAGTATTGCAAGAAATAGTTCTTACCAGGTAATACTGTGGTCTCCCAGCAAAGACTTACATAGATCAGTTAGAAAAAAGGTAATTGTCTACCAAGGCAGGAACTCCCAAAGATAATGGAGAATAGAACTAAAAGTGTGAATATGTTCAACCTAGTAGTACCACATAGGTACATTTCAGGAGGGAGAGACAACTGTAGATAAGATATCTTTTGTCAGAGGATTTATAAATAATGTCTTGTGTTCAGATGATTTTTTTTTAAAAACTGCGTTTCTGTAAAACTTACAGACTGGTTAGGGGTTTCTTTCAGGATCTATTCCATCATTTTGGGGGTCTCCTTTAGAAAAACAGCTGATTGAAGATATCAACTCACCTATATGATCCCTTGAGATATGGGTTACCAGGCGTGCCATCTTTCCTGAAATGCAGGTGAGATCCAGGAGCCCCTGCCATCCTCTGGACCGACGGTATCGGCCTGAACGCATCACAGCCGTAGGAACTATGTGTTTCCATGGGAGGAGGCGTGGGGATGAGGGGCTTCCATTCTGACTGCGCCCTGTTTGACAGTAGGGGGTCAGCATCCTGCTGGTGCCTTCGGGCGGGGTACGATCTCATGGCTGCCCCGTCCATGACCAGGTTGATGCCTTCGCAGTTGGGAGGGGTCGGGGTGTTGCGAGGAGAAGCGGCAGAGGAGGGTGGGGCTGAGGAGGTGGGTTGGATAGGACGGAACGCTGCTGCAAGGCCACTGCTGACTTTCATGTCCGTCTTGCCCGCACCCAGAGGGCTTGTGCATTCCCTCTGACTGGCGACCGAGACGGGGATTGGTTTGGGGGCGGGGCCTGTGTATGTCTTGATGCTTGGAATGTTTGGCTCCGCTTTCTGGTTCTCGCTTGTTCCCTGGCTGCTACTAGAATCTATGAGAATACACAGAGGTTAAAGGTATACACCAGTTCTGGTTATGGGATTGCATTGTGAAGAAACGTTGTGGAATCGATCAGAAAAGGTGGATCATTTAGCATATAAGTATTGGTGTGTACTGCAAGGTTCTGGAGTCATCAAAATGATGAGAAATTTGCCCCAGTCTTGGTTAAGTTACAAGCACTGTACACAGAAAGATGTATATGGGACTACGCGATATCTATCCAGCCCGGATAGATATAATAATTTACCAAGTATATCAATTAGTAGGCGGTGTCCCGGCAAAATTTGTATCCTCACGAATTAGTCAAAACATACTCTTTCACATGATTGGTAATAAGAGCTTCCATTCATTTTTTGAGAGGGGGGGGGGGGCGTTCCCAAAACTGGTCTATACATTTAAATAAAAGACAGTTCAATCACAGCAATGCCCACATGCGATCTCTCAATATATTCTAGGCCTTTCTTTCTCCTACATACCCACCTACTTCTTATCAGTTGCAGATATAACACATGACAGGCATTCATTACTGCAACGCTCTTTATCCTTTATCCTGTTCATTACTACACATGTCAATGCAAGAATTTTGTTACTATTTTCAATTTTATTATGATAACTACTCTCTCATATTAAACATTAAAAATAAAAAGTACATATTGCTTTTTTTACCTAAAAAGGCAAAGTGTTTTGAGTAAATTTTCTCTCACCAATTAGATACGATTGAAATTTGGAATAACATGCATTTCCCATGAACACACACAGGGATATGTCTGGAAGAGTATGGCACAAGTTAAACCATGATGGGCTGTCTAGGTTTTGGAAAGGTTAACTAATTACCACCACCCCTGACAGATTTTGGTACATGAATATCCAAGATTCAAATGAATATGCATGCTTGGTGATCACTTTAGGAATGGTTTGGATTTGTAGTTAAGGAAGCACCATCGTTAAATTGCTTTAAACGCAAACTTCAAGTTTTTCTTTTAAATTCTTACAATATAATTTGTTTGCCCTCCCCAGTCCTTTTTTCTTCAATGCATTATGCTAATCTTAATTGTTAATTAATGATGCATGTTCTGTTTTGTTTTAATGTATATAAACAAATTACTTTGTGCTTTGCTAACTAAATTGCTCGGGTGACTACGCATTTTGATTACGCATTTTGACTACGCATTTTAACCGGGTGACTCTGGGTATTGGTGCTAACGCATTATTTTGGATACAAATTTCCTTAAATTCCATTGTGTTTTTAATTCTCACCTCTAAATTACGTCCTTCTCTACTGCTACAATTATTTCTTCTACAATACTTATTTTTCCAGGAACCTATAATATATAAGCACTGCTTTTTAATAGGTTCCTCACATTCTACTTAATCTTTTATATGAATTGAGAATCATTGGGACGTGCTCATTTATACTACATGTATTGTATAATTTTTAAATTTATATGTATGTCTATATTTTTTTGTAAAATGTGAAACAATAAAAACTTGAACTTGAACTTACCATGACTAGAGACCTCTTCCTGTCCGTCTCTCCAGCTCCTGTCATTGTCCCATCTGACGTTGTTCCTCCCATACCTGGGACTCCCGTAGCCATTTCGATTGATGCGGCAGAAGGACGTGGTGATGACGTTGCCATACACACTCTCCTTCTCCAGTCTTTTCTTAGCTCTGCGTAATATTTATATGAAAGACATGAATGAGAAGGACGTGAAAGTATAAGGTGTGCAAGCTGTATTATATACCTCATACATAGATTGTCATTCACGGACTGGTCAAAACTATATCATACGACAAGGAGCATCTCGATCTATCATTCTGCAGAGGGTTTTGGCGTTCTATCAAACCCTGTGATAGTACTCCTAACCCCTCCACGACTTTTGCACACACACAGAGCGTACAAGATTTAAATGCCCTCCCTTATGGCTCTTCTCCGAGCCTTCTGGGACCCGTTTCAGAAAGCCTTTTTTAAATGACAAAAATCAGTGACAAATCTGCTGATAACCAATCAGAAGCAAGGATTTCAGTAGCATATAACAAAAAACTGTCATTTGTCACTTATTAAGTTATATGAAATGGGCCCCTGGTCTTCAGCATCCATCCAAGTGAGGCTAAATGCTCTCATATCTTACATTAGCGTTTCCTTCCAGGTTTTGCGAGGTCTTCCACAAAACATTAAGCCAGCAACCTGGAAATTCATTGCTTTCTGGAGCCAATGGCTATTTTTTCTCAAACGACATAACCATACCATCTCCATCTACCCATCCTCATCTCCTATGAGATTTTTGTTAATCCTATGGATTTAAAGATAAAGTTGAGTTCTGGGAAGAGGTGAAAAATGATTTGTGAGCGTTATCATTGTTATTATGCAAGTGTGGAAGAACATCAGATTAAAAATGTTCCCTGAAAAGCACTGCTCCTCAAATGCCTTAATATTCTAAATATGGCATGTAATAGCATAAAAATCGGGACAGATTTTTACACCATATGTTTGTGTAGTCCCATATACATCTTTCTGTGTACAGTGCTTGTAACTTTACTAAGACTGGGCTAAAATTTTAAATCACTTTGATGATTCCAGAACCTTGCAGTATACACCAATACTTATATGCTAGATAATCAAGCTTTTCTGATTGATTTCACACCGTTTATTTCACAATGCTATCGCGTGACCAGAACTCAACTTTCTCTTTAAAGATTATGAATATGTAACAAACCTGCAGGCGATCTCATGGCTAGGAAACTTGATAAACGCTGTAGTGTTGACAATGTTGCCCACTTTGCCACCACAGTTGTCGGAGAGTTGCTTGAGACGGGTCCTGATGATTCCCGGGTCCTTCCTTAGTGGAAGGTTGTGAATCACCAGCTCAGAGCTCTCAATAATGCTCTGTAAATAAGAGAACGGGAGATAGAGAGGAACGAGGGACAGAAAAGAAATGAAAATCATGTACATTTTTTAGTTTTTAGTAATCAATACAAGAAATGTGATGGCTGGATTGATGGCCTGAAGACAATTAGCTATGAAATGGCTGTTGTTCACAAGAGCAAAGTGCTCCTCCCCCCCCCCCCGAAAAAATTCTCACTTTGGCCAGCGATCTGAAAGGCAAATCAGCTAGGAGCTCATTATATATATATATACATAAAAGCATTGTTGGTCCAGTTCTTGAGGGACTTAGAGACCTCATCAGAAACCTAAATCTAATCAATACTAGATCTCATCTTACCTTTGAGGGTGACCTAAAGGGAAGGTCAGCAAGGAGTTCATCGTATCTGTAAGCCTTGTTAGCACAGGTCTTGAGAACCTCAGAGGCGGCTAGACCATGGACCAGGATCACATTCAGTCCATTCCTGTGCCTTAGATCAGACAGATCCTGAGCAAAGTTGATATCACCTGGATCAGGGGTAACGGAAGAAAGGTCAAAGGTGAGTTACATCCTGGGGGCGTTTCACAAAGCCTTTTTTTCAATGACAAATAGCAAAAATCAGTGACAAATCTGCTGATAACCAATCAGAAGCAAGGATTTCAGTAGCTTATAACAAAGACTGTCATTTCTCACTGATGACAAGTTTTGTGAAACGGGTCCCAGGTTTCACTGCGTCAGCATCAAACCCTGCTTGACGAACATGTGCGCTATTTAAGAAGCTACCATTATTATTATTACATGCGATTCTTATCATAAAAGAGGACCTATGCAAAAATAAAATAGGGGGTTACCTGAAATGAGTACAACTGTTGCTGGTGAGCTGTGGGTGTCAGCAAACCTCCGAAGGCTCTGCCTGAGTTTGTCATCAGCTGCATTCTTGGCAGTGGCATTGATGTGTGCTACAGTCACCTGTAAATAAGTTACATGAAGAATTCAATCTTTAAAAATAAAGGTGGGTTCTGGTAAAAAAAAAGAAAATGAATTCTCACAGAATCAAACGAAACTTGCACTGAATGTTCAAGATTACAAATAAATGTCATTTGCCAAACAATTTTGGTGGAAAATGTATACTGGCTGAGTAATGAGCATAGAAAGATTAGGAAATAAAGGTTGGTAGCCCCCGACACCATTTGTGTAGTCCCATATACATCTTTCTGTGTACAGTGCTTGTTACTTTACCAAGACTGGGCCAAATTTATTATGATTTTGATGACTCCAGAACTTTGCTGTACACACCAATACTTCCATGCTACATGATCAACTTTTTCTGAGCCATTCCACACCTTTTCTTTCACAATGCAATCGGATGACCAGAACTCACCTTTATCTTTAAAGATATAAATTCATGTTTCAAACAACTGGTACAAAAACAGATATATCACACGTTATTTCAATTTTTTTGTAAGAAACAGAAGAGGTCCATTGAAAGATCCTTGTGGGACACCCACATAGCGCACAAGGCTTAAATTACTTAATTATTTCTCTCAAATAACATTTTAAACAGTACGAGTATTCTCTTTACAGAGCACTTAAATGGTCATTAAATCATTTTGATTCAGCCTTTAAATGCATGTATATAGATATATATATATATATATACATGTATATACAGGGTGGGATGAAAAAAATAATTGAGTGCTTATCATTATCATTAAGGATTTACCTGTGAGTCATTAAGCTCCTGTATGATAGTGCTGCTCTCCTTGTTGATATCACAGACACACATGAACTCTGCTTCCCGATGTCCAATGAAGAGCTGGTCTCTGATGCGCTGAACAACGGCCAGAGCAGACTTTCCTCTTGGGACAGCGCAGTTCTCTATGTCCCAGAAGACTCCAATGGGTGGGTTCTCCTCAGCTATAGCCATAGAAAAGAAGTCAAGAGTCATTGGGTCTCTCTGGAATTCATACAACTCAAACAAGCTTCAATTACACCAATAGTCTTTCATGATTAATGTTGCATGAAATGCTGCTAGGACACTGTCAAGTATTGACAGTGAGTGTTAATCAAAGATTAGTAAACTATACTTATGATATATTTAAAACAAGTAAAACAAATGTGCCTTTTCACCTTCATTACCATGAAAATAACTAGGTTTTTATGGATATTACTTTTGTGCGAACAAGGTTTACTTCAACAAACACAATTACCATCTCAATACATTAACTCACTTTCAAAATCTGAATGCACAACATATATCTTTCTTTTTTTATCTGAGGAAACAGTTTGAGCTGTATACCTTTGGAAGTATTGTGCTTGTCAGGGCTCTGGAACTGGATGGCACTGACTGCTGACAGTCCGCTTTCATTGAGCTGAGTTATAAGGGACTGCAGAGGGCTACTGCATAGGGTGCTAGTCATGGCTTGTCTCAGGGGTGTCATGTTGTTGCCAGCTCCTGAACCAGATGGTAAATCTCCGCTCTGTCTGTAGGGACTAAATGGTATACCCTGGTGCGAGTGGTTGGACGGTGGGCGCTGAGCCATTGGAAGGTTGGATGACACAACTGGTGGCGGAGGTTCTTTGTTGGCATGAGGGACATGGAACGGGGCAGCATTGCACTCTGTCTCACATGCACACTCCTGGCAGCTCTGCGGCATCACTGCTTGGACGTCATGTCCATCATTCTGGTGCAGGAGTCTGAGGAGGGCCTGAACGTCCTGGCTTTGAGGGGGAACCAACCCTTGTTGCTGAGGCACTGGCAAGGTGGGCATCGGTGGTGCATACTGTCCGGTTTGACCGTACTGAGGCAACAGCCGGCTCAAATCCTGAGTAAGCATGGCCGATTGGCAAGTCACGCATGAGCAAGGGAGAAAAGGTGTGTGAAGGGAGTTTGCACAGGGCATTGCCATAGGTAAAGGTGGAGCTAGGGGTAGGCTAGGATACAAGCCAGTCTGTCCAAAACCTGTCAATCCAAAATGTGCCGCCAGCATCTGCTGCTGTTGGTAATACTGAAGAAGCTGAATACTGGAAGAGATACTCGCATCGATGGCTGCTGTTGCTTGCAGTCCCGCTAGATTGGCAAAGTGAGGAAGTCCTCCAAGAAGCGGATTCTGAGCACAACTTGCATCGCTGCTGACTTCTGGCTTCAGCAACTCACCGACACTCTTTGGACACTTCTCCGTCTCGTACATGTTGGACTGTCTCTCACCGTCCATGGTGTTTGGAGGGCTTGGATCTTGTCCTGCAGTCATATACTGACTGGATGATGCCCCAGAAACCTCTTGGCTGCTACTTGACCCGACATCATCGAGGTCTATGACATCGGGAGATGAACCTCTGAATCCAGAGTTCAAATCACGATCTGATCTATGTCTCTGACCGGACGTTTGCCGTGGTCTCTGTAAGATCTTTACCTTCTGTTTCCTAGCTTTGGGTCCTCCACTGCCCTCGCTATGGCAGTGGTGATGACTGTCCTCACTGAAACTCTGGCTCCTCCTGGACCCGTCATCCCCATGGTGGGAATGGTCATGCTTGCTTCTCCCTCTGTCCCAGTCGGTCACTCTCTCTGTACCACTGTAACTGTCGGACATGTCATCTGGTCCACGTCTGCTTCGTCTTAATCCTTTACCTAAATGAGCAATGAACCACACAAAGAATTTTAACAACTGCAGCAACATTATATTCTAATATCACTTTAAGTCTATATGCATTGTTTTTATAGACCTCATGTCTTCTGAAACTTATGCTACTGGTGATGGTTTTCTTTTCAAGGGAACCAATAACCAGTCGAGAAGGGAACTGTCTTCATCACGAACATGCTTCCATACCATTCAACAAACATGAGCAATGATCTTTATGTTGCTATAGATTTATAATATATATACAGTCAAACCTGCTTTAGTGACCACCTGTCTACAAAGACCACCTGTCTACAAAGGCCACATTTGTTGTTTCACTTGAAAATGGTTTCTCATTGAATCATGTACTAAAGGAACCTGTCTACAAAGACCACCTGTCAACAAAGGCCACTTTTTGTGTTTCCCTTGGGCGGTCGCTATAGACAGGATTGACTGTATACACAAAAGATGAATCTCACATCACACATACCTTTCTCATATGAGTGGTCCATTCTCTGTCCATTCCTTGTCTAATTTATTCTGAAATTAGAAAGAGAAAACAAGAAATGTGATTGAGCCTATGAAGCAGTAGAAGTCCATTGTTTAGTTGCTACAAGAGTACCACTGCTGTAACTTGTACACCCTGACCATTTTTGTGCTACATGTACATTTTCAACAATGAAACATGTTAGCCGTTGAGGATGGTACCCGAGTATACTAAGGGACTAAGGCTGGAGTCCAAGGGAAATGCCTGCTATAGCTAAACCAAATAGCCTTCTATGGGTTAATTGTAAACATTTTTATTTCTTTTCATATTCATGTAGATTAATACATCATCACAGTCAATAAAGATAAAGTTGAGTTTTGGTCATGCGATTGCATTGTGAAAGAAAAGGTGTGGAATGGATCAGAAAAAAAGTTGATCATGTAGCATGTAAAGTATTGGTGTGCACTGCAAGGTTCTGGAGTCATCAAAATCATAATAAATTTGGCATACAAATTGATGAGCAGAATCCTCATGAAAAATGAACCCTTTTGACCATCTACTATTTACTTTTACAGTTTCACCGTCTACTTTTGTTTTTATAACAGTTTTGGGAATGATCTACACACATAACTGACGCACACATGGCATTGCAGCATTGCACACATAAAATAGACAAATCAACGAACATTTCAGAATAACTTTCCAGTTTGTACCCTAATATGACGAAATGAGAAATTTTCAAACTTTAAAAATAGTTAGGAATGACTTAAACTTAAGTGAAACACTTAACATTTTAAGGATGCTGAAAAAAATCTATCGCATCAAACGGAAAATCGCAAGCTTTCTCCTCGCACCAATATCTTATAACATTGAGTGAATAGCAGCCAGCGATAGCCAATAAGAAGGGCCCTTGTCGGCGCCAATTTATGCTATTCGCTGTGATCGGATGAACATTATGCGCATGCACTAAATGTAAGCTAGTAAAGTTCTATGTGCAGCGCGTGCGCTTGTGCTGATCCGACATCCAATTTTAGATAGCGATATCCCAGGAATCCTTTGGCTTAATTTGACAATAATTTTTTTTGGTAGGCCTACTTAAAAACTTTGCCGTCCATTTGGTAATAAATTTGTGTAGATTATGAGAAATCACGGATCGAATACCTGTAGACTATCACATTTACTAATATTTTCAAAAATCTCTGTGAATTTTGGTCACCCCATCGTAAACTAATGTGTGCGCAAACATGGGAACCTTGCCCTTGCCTTTGTCCAATTTACATGATGACATGGCTGCCTGTTCTTGTAAAAATGACATTGTTCTTGCTCAAATTTCGATGGGATTTGTGGCACACTTTACTTAGTAATATAGAAGTTAGAAGTTCGACTCAGAAGGAACATCAGAACCACCTGGCCTAGAATCTATCCCGTTTTCAAAAAGTTACCCGCTTGGAAGGCTCAAGGCTGGTGCATCTGTATCTGCGGCTCTCTTCACCAGTTCACTCCAGGAATTGTCCTTGTCTAGGTAGAAAGTACCGTATTTCATTCACAGGAGCCTTCTCTGCTGTAGAGTCTACGGCAGTACCGACTCAGCTGAGCTGAGGTTACTGGAAAAGTGGAAAGAGCTGTTCGGCAATGTCGACTGATCTGAGCTGAGGTTACTGGAAATCTAATGACTGGCAATGCGATAAATTTTACATTACACAGCTTGCCTTTGCAATATATACAGCGCGTGTTGTGACATATCGCGTTCAGTTTCATTCATAACATTAAAAGCGAATGGAATATTGTGCAACAAATGTAAATTCATCAACACGAGATGGCGCTAGACCTTAACTGAAAACGGTCCGACAAGGATTGATGACCGAAACACGGATAAACTCTCAAAGTCGCGGGGTAAGCCCCCCCCCCCCCAATCCCCTTCAAAAAGATAAATGAACGGGCATTATATGATATCGACAAAGAGAAGGCCTTGTCTATGTACAAACAGATTCACCAGACAAATTGCGACCGAGCGGAGGCAAAAGCACAAATTGAATACTTAATTTTCAATGAAATTTTCGAGCTATACCGATTTTCGGTTCGGTGCCCCCATATGCCGCCTTGGAAATGTTAGGAATGTAGCCTCTGAATGACATATGATAGATTAATGTTTAGCAAAATATTGTAAACTCTACAATTAATACACTTAAGTTGAAGAATTCAACAACAACAAAATTATCATAATTTTTTACCCGCTATATATATTCAAGGCTTCAAAAATTAATCGGGTGCCCACCCCCGCCCCACATAAATAGTAGTACTCCTTTTGCCCCTACTGCGAACAATCCTGATCCAAGTAAATAAACAAATACATGGAGGAGTGAAGAAGGAGAGAAAAATAAGAAAACAGAGAGGGGAGAAGGAGGAAGAGGAGGAGGAGAAATAAAAGAAAAAAGAAGAAGAAGAAGAAGAAGAAGAAGAAAGAAAAAAAAGAGGAGAAGAAGAAGTAGAAGAAGAAGAAGAAGAAGAAGAAGAAGAAGAAGAAGAAGAAGAAGAAGAAGAAGAAGAAGAAGAAGAAGAAGAAGAAGAAGAAGGGGAGAAGAAGAAGGAGAAGAAGAAGTAGAAGACGAAGATGAAGAAAAAGAAGAAGAAGAAGAAGCAAAAGAAGAAGAAAAAATAGAAGAAGAAGAAAAAAGAGAAGAAGAAGAAGAAGAATTAAAAGGAGAAAGAGAAGGGGCAGGGTACAAAAAGAGGACAAAAGAGGGAGGTGGAGAAAGAGAAATAGAAGAACAAAAAAATAACCTTCAGCCCAAACTTTGATACCCCGCCGTCCAGGCACATTCTCTACATTCAACTCATAAAACACACTAACCAACAACAAAAAATCAATTGGAGACAATTCATATACAGAGATAGCTTTATTTCATTGCTCATGACAATGTCAATCACATTACTTGCATCACAGCATAATTATTACAGAAATAATAAATGAGACATACACTTGCCAATGTGTAGAAAGAAAAGACATCTTTAACCCATTCACCACCAAGTTCTCTTATTCCCATAGGCTCAACACAGAGTCCGACTGCTTTCAGTACGCAGTGGGTTCAATATAGTGGTTGTAATGGAAATGAAGTTTTTTCACAAGGACATAGAGGAAACAAATACCCTGTTTGCATCTTATTACTAAGCTCTAGGGCTGTATTCTGACAAAGATGTTATCTTTAATGGTATGGTTAACAATGCTACTTCTCATAACAAGCTCATAACTTGTGCAGAACTAACATTTACCATTGGTGCTTGCAGAGATGTCTCTTTTAACTTTACGTGAACGCAGCTAGCTTTGCACAGACATCAACCAATGACTTGTCTTAATATTTATTTGTTACGACATTTAATATTGTTTTGGTTACGTAAAAGATAACACCATTCTCAGTATACCTTCCCTAAACGCCTCTTTACATAATGGAAAACCATTTTTATACTACAGTTGTATATTCATCAAATGAGAAAAGAAAAATGTCTTTGAAAAAAAAAAACATGATATTACATAATCTATATTACATATTACAGATATTACATCAATGATAAGAAGCATTTTTCTGATGAAAAGAAACATTTCCAAATAAAAAGAAATGGACACTGGCATTTTTCTTTCATATGCAAATTGTACACATGAATTCAATCAATTGAAGTTACAGAAATTGTTTATCTCTTGAGATATCACTCCTTTAAAGTTTCCATATATATTTGTAATATTTTGTTTTCTTCTTCCTTCTCCACGATGATGCATGGATATTTCACCTGAAAATGGGAGCAATTAAAAAACAATTATCCAATTGGTGTTAATATGTCAGTCCATATCTTAATCTCCTGAAAATTCTGTCTTGAAATACAGATGATGTTATGATACTGATTTAATGTGTTATGTTGAAACTAGAAATAACGTACTGGTAGTACAAAATACTTTACATAAAACTATCATGCACAAAGAAAGAAAAATTAGAATTTCACAATTTCAGTGAAATTGGATGACGAAAATAAATAAATGGAAGAATAGTCATTATTGAAATATGGACTTTATTAGGAACAAAAATAAATAAATGTATTTAGTATCTATGGAAATCACACTTAGTAAATCTCTACTGTCTCACACAAGAAAAAAAGAAGAAGAAAAAAGAAGAAGAAAAAAAATCAAAAATTAAAAAATTAAACAAAATTCAACTGGAAATTTGAAAATTAAACCACATATAGATCTTTAACAGCTCTTTTCTAACATTTTGGTCACACAGTCACGTTTTGCTGACCCGTTTATCTTTTTGCTATGCTTCTATTCAAACTATCTTAATATCAGGGTGGAATTCCCCTTTAAATCCAATACATTTATCCTATGAACTACCTTAATTTTTAAAGCACTCAATTTGATCAACATTTTCTTTTGATAAAAATATCTGCCCTCAATTCTATCTGGTATTCACTAAGTTCACTGCACGACTCATTTACTACACAACGATTTCAGCATTTTGAAAGACACTTTTTTGTTTTCATAACATGAGCCTCAATTTAATAAAATAAAACTACATTTAAACAAATCAAACGGCAGCAAAATGGCTGTAAGAGCTTTGTATTGTTAATGGCACTTGACGGACAAAATGCTTTAACATTTACCACTTACACATGTATATAGAGCCTTGTTTATTTATCCTTTTGTAGACAGCCTTGAAAATGTAATGGACTTCACATTTCTGTGGCTCATAACACACATTTGGGTGAGTGCACATGCGAGCACTTGATGCAGGCAGCTATTTTTTCACCATTTCATAAAAAAACTAATAAAGAAAAACTTCTGTTTTGTTTACAGGCAATCTATCAGATCATGTCTCAACAAAGTTAACAAAGCAGTGTATGAACCTGCAAAATAATACATTTGATATAGACTATCGATTATCTCAGCTAGAAGCATTCATATTTTATTTGTTTCCATCAAATTGGTTAATTTTTCACGCATCATCATTATATTCCAGCAGATAGCTAATGTTAGCTTTGATTCATTTTCAATTCAGAAAGTTTTATATTTTTTCTTCCACATTAAATACCACCACGGGAATGAAAGAATGCAAATTAAATATGTTACATCTACTTTAACGCCCCCCCCCCCCCTAACAAAAAAACATGCCTCCATTCACCAAATAATTGTAAGCTGAACTAGTATATCTCCCACGAGTACTATCTTAACATTATTTTGCAGGCCTTTTGTTTACTGCCATATTTAACCCAACAACTCCCCACCCCCTCCAAATAATAACATGGTTTATCCTCAATGAAAGACTATGGCAACCTACGAAGCGCATACTATATATATCCTGCTGGCAAAAAACAATTCCATGACCCATGATTATCGAGCAGGACTCACATTTTACATGTTTATTTCCTCTCAGGAATTCTATCAATAAACTGTGATTATAATTTTTACTACATGATGCTCCGTAACTACAAGTAACATTAGAAATGCGTGTAAAATATCTAATTTTCATAAGTACGTATATGCTCTATTTATTCACACCAAATATATTTATCTACGTAAACTACTAATGCACTACAGCATAGCCACAAAAAAATAAAATGTCATTGCTTTTAAAGGGCAAAAAACAAACAACAAACAAACAAAGAAACACTGACAAATATACAATTAGCTTGGAGCCTTATCAAATTATAGAAAAATAGCTGATTAATAAAAAATGAATAAAATAAAAGTATCACGTTGTTGCCTCTCTGGGCTGCTTAAAGGAAGCATGGAAAAATTTCTAGGTACAAGACCCCAAGTATGCATGAGAATGCATGGGTTCTAAAAAGACATACAAGCTATGTAGCAAATACCCACATGAGCTGCAAATGCACAGAATTGGCATACCGGTAGTAATATACCGGTATATATTTTTTCAAGAAACATTGTTTCCTTTTGACGCCTGCCCCACGCACACATGATGATACTGATTACAGAATATATAGTATTAATGGCAGGAAACAGTCAAGAAAATATAGATTTGTGGCTTATGGACTCATTACATCATCACTATAAACATGTAATTCATACATGTGGCAGATATCATACTATTGACAGCCCTGCAAATAATTGCTCAAATACTATCTCTACACAGATACATTTATCACACATCTCTTGGACAGTACACAAGGCACACATAGTTTCACAAAAAACTTATCTGAAAAATATAGGCTTCTGGTTTTTTGAACAAGTCAAATTCACACATCAGCATTCAGCCAGGTCATGATTAAATGCAATTGTACATAAAGAGCTTTGATTTACATCTTTTTTAAGTATCCTTGTCATACTCAGGGATGCCAGTTAGAATTGATCGATGGGTCTGAAAATCACCTAGAATGAGGTATTTTGTACACAAAAAAGCCTAAACTATGGTCTGAAAATATATCGCCAGGGCCTGAATTCAGGCTTTTGCCTGAAAACTGGCATCCCTGCATGCTATGGTCATTGAATATCAATTTAGAGAACAAAACTGCTGTGGCCAACTGCTGGAATGTGTAAATTATCACATTCATCATTTACATGAAGAAGATTAAAACTCTGCAAATAATTAATGGCCGAAAGAGTGACACATTCTTGCTTACATGTGTACATCTTTCAACTAGTCAACAGTAGTAAATAAAAGTAACAGTAAGTCAATGCATAAAAATACCTCATTCAAGTTATCTTCTAAATCCCTTTCAACATATATGTTCATTGCACATTTTGAAAATGCTGGATTGGATTTAATTTTAGCTATGCTACCATCACAAATACAGAGATACAAGATATTTTGTAATATTGACAAAAAATAGGGATAGACATAATATACTACGGATGAGATCATTTTCTTTCCCTTTCACTTTTTTCAATAAATGGAAAGTTTTGACAAAAGCAAGAAAGATTGCAAATTTGATTGGTAGAATTGGTGTACAAAATAAGTATTGGGGTTCACAGAAGTACTGGAATCTTTTGTACTTTCAACACAATAAAAAAATAATCCAGACAACCTTAATATAGTATGGAATGTATTCATTCAATGCATAGATCAATCAAATAAAAGAAATCATATAAAAACATAGCACATCGCTAAAATCTACACATAGTTGCAAATAAACCTGCTGTTTAAGAAAAGATACATAAAACTTTGAAGCATATGTCAAGTGATCGTTGTACATCATGCTCCAACAATAATTGCTCCGTGGTTAATGACCTACACTAACTAAATGAGAGACAATATACTGATTTTGATGCGATGCTCACTTTCATGATTGACTTGAAAAGAGACATACCCATATTCTCATTGAGAATGAATCAGTAATAACTGTTAATTTGATCACAGATTGCATTAATCACATGGTAATCCCTGCAGCGAATAATAACATACACGGAAAAAGGTGAGTGGGGACTGAGTATCTTATTGCAAATAAAAGAAATGTTCGCCAAAAGTATTGTTTACACAACCATGATCATCACAAAAAAGATTCAGCAGTGACTGAAACTCTCAAAATACAGTCAAACCTGCTTTAGTGACCACCTGTCTATAAAGACCACCTGTCTACAAAGACCACATTTTTTGTTTCCCTTGAAAATGGTTTCTCATTGAAGCATGTACTAAAGGAACCTGTCTTCAAAGACCACTTTGTGTGTTTCCCTTGGGCGGTAGCTATAGACAGGTTTGACTGTACATTCTAAAGAAAATCTCAACCTCACCCAGACTACTTGGAGTAGACCACTTTGCAGCTGGAGACATCAAGTAGAGGTGCTGAGAAGCCCGCCCTCGTTGTCGGCTGCACACAGAACTCAATGCAGTCCTCCTGGCCTTCGTTCTCTATCTTCGGGATGAGCAGATGACACACGCGGAAGCTGTGCGAGTGAGCTCTCCCGACGAACAGCTTATCGCTCTTACTGACGGCACGGCTCTGGTTGGGGTCGCGCTCGATGCCGGAGCAGTAGATGTCAAAGTGGTCCCCAAGGCCAGCGGGGTAGGACCAGGTCAGCGTGGCGCAGAGGGAAACGACGGTGTGCGGGTCCACGACATTCGCGATGGGTGGATGCCAGGTGACGTCCTGACAGGATAGGTCGGTCACCTGCTGTGTTTGGTCCCGAAGCGATCCGGGGTCAACGACCTGGCGTTTGGAAAAATTATAAATATTTAGAGTTTTTTTCTTCAAAATAAAGGATAGTTAGGTCTCGCATGTCCTCTCTCAATTAAGCAAGCAGAACAAGTAACAGATGTTTGACCCAACTGTTCATAAAATATAAAAAATATTATCTGCCCTTGTGCATTGTACATATTTTCAAACAAGATATGACTTGTGTACTTATAATTGTTCTTCTCCATTGCGCCTCCAGGGGTGATAGTGAGCACTAAAAAAAAAAATAGGTTTTTTGTTTTCCCCTCAATCACGCCCCCCTTGAGTAAAAAAAAAAGAAGAGGATTCGCGGGGAAAAAATGGCATTTAACAACATTCCCCCCTTTTGATTAAGAAAATTGAGGGCCAAATAGGGAAGAATAGAGAAAATAAGGGGGAAATTGGGAAAATCACGATAAAATAGGGAAGAAAAAAAAAATCTGGTATAAAAAAAAAAAAAAAAAAAAAAAAAAAAAAAAAATTTAAATCTGATTTTTTTTTTTTTTTTTTTAAATCGGGAAGAGAAAAAAATCGGGAAAAATCAGGAAAATTAAAAGAAAAATCGGGTTTTATCAGGCCTGGCCTCGAACACATTAGTCATGTGGAGTTGGCACATTACAAATACTCTATATCGTTGTTATTATTATTATTATGTTTCTTTAATGATATAGATGGTATAACAAAATCATGCTTCCAGAGTGTAAATAACATGATGGAATACTGCTTTCGAAAAATTATTGAAACTCATTTACAATGAACTGAAGTCTTGAACATTCTTCCTAAAGTATGAGGTAATAGAAATATTTCCCATCAATAAACATCAAAATGAAACGTCTGTTGTTGTTACTCACCTTGATTTCTCCGATCTTGACTGAGTAAGACTCGACAGGAGCTGCTGAGAAGCAAAGCAAACCAATCTCTGTGATCTTAGCACCAGCAGTAAGGACAGACTCTGGTACTAGGTAGTTCCTGTATCGTACAAAAAATAATTGAAAGTCAATATCGAGAAAGGCCTGTAAGACTTTAATAAGAAAGTTGTCATGTGATTATGCCAAACAAAAAAAGTAGGCTCCATAATCAGATCTTGATATTAGAGGGAATTGTTTAACAATGTTAAATCTGAGATGCACGGCCCTACGTGTTATCAGTGTCTGTGATATGATGTTATATTGAAGCCCTAAAAAAACTGCGCTTCAAAATTATCAAGAAGTGCCTGAAAAAGTAAAAACCTTTGAGTGACCAGTTTTACCATACTCGTTTTCTCCAATAGACTGTAGTATTATGAAAACCGTTTGGCAAACGCAAAATTTGATTTCGATTTTCAATCATAAATATCTTGATAATCAGACAGGCGATCAGCTTGTAAAAGTCATGGGGATCCTGACTGACCTAAGTTTTATAATTATCATTGCAGCATGAGCTAAATCAAGACAAAGATATCGGATCCCTATTCAGCATGGTTTTTTTTTTAGACAAGAATTATATAAACTTTGAATAAACTCAATAAAGTCATTGCAGTAGATTTTGTAGAGCATCAATTTGTCGGAAGAGAAAAGAACACAAATATCACTGAGTTTGATGCAATATTTCATGTTGCTCCATTTGCCACTGATGATCCCTTTGGAACCTCACCTTGTAACCCAGCCTCAGATAGGCACCACCGAGCTGTCAATACTAAACAGTGCATCCTAGAGGATCTTATGAAGCATACTGCTACATAGAACCTTAGATTATCCTTTCAGAAGCATATTGCACCAAGTGACTCTGGACGATCCCTTCGGATACCTCACCTTGTCACCCAGCCTTGGGTAGGCACCACTGAGCTGTCAATACTAAACAGTGCATCCTAGAGGATCTCTTAAAGCATACTGCTCCATGGAACCCTAGATAATTTTTACAGAAACATATTGTACCAATGGACTGGATGATCCCTTGGGAAACCTCACCTTGTCACCCAGCCTTGGGTAGGTACCACCGAGCTGTCAATACCAAAGGATGCATCCTGGAGGATCTTATGACACGTGCCAACCAGAGGAGAGAAGATGGTGGGATCGGAGGACTTGAGGGAGTCGGGGACGGTGGAATGGTCGACCAGGGCAGAGAGTCTTAGGCCATAGGTACTCATGGGTTGCTCGCCTGCCTTCATGTCATCTTGATGAGAGAGTGAATATCATATTCATTATAATTTAGATAGAATTCAGAATTTAGAATTTCATTGACTCTTTGACCCCCTTTTGGGGTTTGAGAGTACAAACAAACACAAAAGTATTAATAGCAATGCATGACTTATGAATACAATTCACATACATTGTACATAGATAATGACACAAAGATACAAATGATAATAGGTATATACTATATAGTGTATGAAAGTACAAACATGAACAATGAACCAACTAGTAAACACAAAGTATATATACATGTACAATGTAGATAGTGACAATAATAAATGTGTCAGTATAATGCAGTCTCTTTACAAGCTAAATAGCAAACAAAGTAGGCTGTTTCATTATCCTACCGCTACAAGTATGTGTACGTTCAGCTCCAATTGTACTTCTTGAAATGCTTGAACTATCTTCTTTCTCTGTTTTTTGATAAAATTTCAACATAATAAAGCATATATTCCAGGATGCACATAATGAGGTAAGTTTAGGTTCAGTACAGAAATCATAGGGGTATTCTTTCTACAGGACTACACATTCGATAGATAGATAAATAGATAGATAGACAAATGGTTTATTGAATTGAAAAAGAAAAAAAATTGTCTCAGCAAAGGCAAATTGCAATACTTTTATTGCTCTGTCAAGTTTTCTGAGCCGAGAAAGAAGCTCTGATTCTACCTTTCCTTCTACATAATCTGAATGATGTAAGAAGAGTGACCAGATAAAAGGAGGCTTCGAAAGAAGTTGTGTTGTTAAATATTAAAATAAGCTGAGGTACAAATTTGAAAGGTGGTGTCAGTTTGTAAACGGATAAGCCAAAAGCCCCTCAGTAGATTACTTATAGCATCATACTGTAGTATTTCCTTTGAAAGCCTTACTATTTCTAATGACACCATAGTACAAGTGATTGTTCAGGCTTCTTTTGTCATTGCTGGCATGTTTTTTGTTGGTGGTATTAAAACTGCCTTCATTGAACTTCTACCCTTGGACAAAATTTCTTTCTTAAATTTGTCTTTCCTATCACTATCTCTTAAAGCCCCACTGCACTACTTGTAACTACTTGCTCCCTCTATATAGGAAACAATGACTAATCAGTGACCATTCGTCTCCCATGATCCTCTTTTCTTATGTTAATTGAGAGCTGAGTTGATGAGATAGCCACCTGTCAGTGACCACCCTGGGTGGTCTAATCCCTCCTAGCCAAACTAGTATAGATGGCCTTTAACTTTTCTTTGTATCGCATATATATTTGTTACTCCTTTTATCAATTCATTGTAATTAGAACCATCCCAGCAGATCAGGGCCCCATCTTAAACACACTTGCGACTGATCCGAATTAATCGCAATTTTGCAGTCTCCTATCTCTTATGTACATAGTTGTGATTGATATCACTCTCAAATAAGTTGGGATGAATCCCAACTGTTTAGAAGACAGGGCCAAGAGCAATAATAGCCTGAAAGGGGTAAACTGATTTCAAGCGTATCCGGACACCTTCCCCCGGACATCCATTCCCCCGGATAACCACCACCAGTCAACTACCCCCTAGGACAACTACCTCCTAAGACAACTACCCCCTAGGGCAACCACCCTCTAAGACGACTATCCCCCAGGACAACTACCTCCCGGACAACTACACCCAGACAACTACCGCCAAGGACAACTACCCCCGAACAACTACCCCCTAGGATAGTTGTCTGGGGGGTAGGTGTCCTAGAACCGATGTCAAGGACATGTTCTCCTATCTACCTGCAGTATTCCACAGCAGTATCTCCTTGTTTGGCGTGGATAGGTAGAGACACATCTTGCAGTTATCTCCATGCTTGGCAGTGTAGGAGACCAGAAGAGGGTGTGACCCAGAGATACCGGTAGCAAACAACCTGTGGAAGAGGGGTCAAATAAAGAAATAGGACACAAGTTAGACTAGACTCTTTTACAGGGGGTGTAGCATGACGAGACTACGTGTCTTTCCCTCGGCCTGACTCGGGGCCAATCGGGTATAGTACAACTATGGACGACACAACCGCAGTATTCACGTGCGTGCAACATACGCAAAACCGAAGAGGAAACTTTTGTCTCTTTCGCAAACGCTAGCGCGCGCTGACCGTAAATCAAGACCATTAGTTTACGTGCAGTTGTCCAAAAGAAGTTGTAGATGGCGTTAACCAGTATTTGCCATGCTACACCCCCTTTAAATGAAATGTACTGCACTGTGATTAAATAATGCACATTTTCCACTACTTACAAGTAGAACAGTATCGAAGAATAATATATTTATCAATGCTACTAAATCTGTAATCTCATTGTTGTATTAAAGAAGAAAATATCAAAAAGTCGGGGTGCGGCGAAAGAGTAAAAAAAAAAAAAAAAATCAAATCAAGTCAAAATTCCCACACATCTTACCGACAATTTTATCTTGCATCGTTTCAATTCAATTTCAATTTATTATTTCATAAAAAATCACATTTGGTATCAGTTTGTAAAAAAAATATCATCTCCATAAAGTATGTTAGATTTGATCGTGCCTGCTGTTGACTTACTTGCATCTGGTGACCTGGCTAGCTGCCAGTCCGCCATGAATCTCCACGCAACCGCCTCCGTTGAAGGCATCGGACACCACGTATTGCATGACCGTCTTCTTTGAAGCGCCCTCTACGTCAGAGAACTGCTCCTTGCCATAGGTAGGCACTATCTGCTGACTGCTCAGATTACACCATGCTTTCTTCATCACCTCCTGACAAAGGGAAATAGGGGTGAAATACAGATGCACTTTAACGTCATAATTCACATGCATTCTGTGATAAAAAGTCCAGTGTTGGAGCTACATCGTGGGTTCTATAAGAGAACATCAATGTTATGCCTAGGTCACACCAAAACTTTTTTGTTTAGATTTGGGTCTGTTTCTCGATTTTTAAAGGCATGCATTTCCCATGCACTTCTACCCTACAATGCATTATTAGTTTGAAGTATGGTTTTTAATTTCAATGTCATTTCGATACCATCTTTATGCTGGTTTGATGTGGAAGTGGAAATGCAGCAGGAAATTTGAAATGTTAGGGGGAAAGTCCATTTCCCCCTAAAACACATAGGTAATGCAACAGAGCTATATCGATGTCAGCTCGTCTCTCTGGTTTTCACATTGAAATGGAAACACATGGGCTCAAAGCATTGGTGTGAGTAACAATGGCCTACATTTTAGACTATGTTGCTCTTAATAGAAGCAGAGAAATCTGCCAAACAGAACAGAAATGGATTAATGAAACCAGACTGATATTAAAGTTAAGGGGTTAAGTTAATGAAATGAAAATATTTGTCCCATGGGGACAAATTGACAAATCTGTGATGAGGCTGTGATGCAATATCTTATAATTTTGTAGATTTTTATATACTTAATTTTTTTTTAAATACTTCAGATGATAAGACAGCAGGCACATGATTGGATGCATTTAGGAGACCTCCTCTAAAACACTGGCTGACTTTCAGGACAATTCAAACAAGTAAAAACAAATCAAATTCAATACAAAAGGCCATTAGCACTTACATCTAAGAGATTTTCAAAGACAATTGTCTCCTAATTTTGCTCATAAGTATATACTGTTATATTAAATCTGAAACCAACTTACATTTCCACATTTGAAACCGAATTCTCCATATCCCCTGCAGAAGTTTGTGACGAAGGGTAGAGATGAGACCCCATGGGTGTAAAGATAGGAGTCTAGCAAAGACCAGAACCTGATACATTGAAGAAGAGAAAAAAATGATTGGATGATATTAAAGTTTATTGCTGATTAGTTGCACTAATAGCATTAGTATTGGATATATTCATAGCACACATATCTACCATGCAAGGTGCTCTAACATTACCCCAGGGCCCATTTCACAAAACTTGTCATCAGTGACAAATTACATTTGTTGGTTATCAGCAGATTTCTCACTGATTTTTGTCATTTGTCCTTGAAACAAGGCTTTGTGAAACTGGTCCCAGCTCTGGTAGGCTACCCAGTTCGGTGCTCACAGCATTAAAGGAATTCCTTCCTACAGGTGACCATTTACACCACCCGGATGGAGTGTGGCAAAGTAGATTAATGTCTTGCCAATGGACATTGGTGCTGCGGCAGGACTCAAACCCTTGACCATTTCATCCACCGTCCGAAGACATATCAACTAGTCCACAACACCTCTACCAAGTAGACCAAGGACGTTGCACTTACTGAATATAGCATAGCATGAGAAACAAAACATCTCAAACTTTCTGCACACATAAGACAGGGGAATGCACGATATAATATATGTATTAATTATTATAGCAGTTCACAGTATTCTTAAGGTCTACATAGATCACTTTTTCATGCTCAAATTGGCACCAATTTTCCACTCCTAAATATTTGATATCAAATTTTAAAACTGTACATGAAATGAACTAATGTGAATGAACATTACTAAGTTCACCAAACAATTGCCAATTTGTACATAAATGTAGTGATTACAAATTTCACACCTCGTTGCCAATTTAGAGACTGTAATAATGGAATACAATTAAATAGCTCCTGTTCATGAATGGCACACTGTACTGCGTTATAAATGGATTCAAAATCTTCAGTGATTTTTGCTCTTTCTGCTCAAGTACTATATGTAATTTCTAGAATTCTAGATCAAAAGATAATTTTTTTTAATTCTTTAAAGTTGATACTCTAAGCAAATAAATGTCCCTTAATTTGTTACCTATGGCAAGTATATGTTATTTTTAAGTTTTTCAATTACTTAGTATATCACACAAAAATTCTGTCTACTCGAAATCCTCGATTGAAATGTCGAAAATATCCGCCTCTCTTTGCATAGAAAATCAGTCACGGCGCTGGTCTACTATTTATGACCTCACGTCCGGGAAAGAGTATATTCACGTACCCGGATGTTCCATAGCAAACATGTGCAGAGTGATACGATTTTCTGCATATTTTTGTTTCAAAGGCTGAAAAGTCTAATAAATCATAATTCTATGTACAATTCTTTATCTTCCCCTAGTACTTCATAGTATTAATATCGATTCCCCTTTTAAACATTATGACATATACATGCCAACGATGTGCTATTAGTCGATATTTTCACCATGTAATTTTTGTTTTGGTGTTGAAATCGGCCCAGGCACGGAGTGAACAGTAGCTGTCTACCCATGCACAGTTCATTACCATACACTACAGCGAACTCCCGATGGTTTCTTCTTCCTTTTCCCCATGTCTTTCGCCTTCCTTGGCCCTGAAGATCCTTCATCTACCAATCCTGACACCGGTAGTCAGGAGCAAGTCTTTGTTAGTTGTTTTTCTTAGCTGGCAACGTCGCTTTCATTCTCTTGCAATTGCCGATAAACATATAACTAGCGCACGTACGTTCCATCACAAGCAAGCAGCGCCTAGAGCAGCGGCTTGGTCTTACCTCCCGATTCTGCTCGCTTCACGAACGTTCATGCAAGAGCCGCATCACTCGCCAAAATATTATAGAGGAAGCGCGCTTGCATGATCTCGTTCAAGTTTGATAATTTACAACATAAAATGTTTAACTGGTACTGTATCCTTTTTTGAGGCAGTCACACACATCTATGATAAGTATAGTTCTAGACCTATTCGTTTTACAAAACTGCTCCTTTACCTTATCTGATGACGATATAATGCATCCGCCTATTCATACGTGCACGATTTAACTTTAATTCCTAAGCAGTAAACTCGTCTTAAATCTCTACCAAATAGGTGAATATGAGGATATAAAAAGAAATCAGCGACTGGAAAATGTTGCTTCGTTATTCTTCATTCAAATGAACACAGAAAATCCATCAAATATACTCCTTAACAACAACAAATCTAAGCTCTGACAGGATAGCATGTATGTAGGGATATCACTGCCATTCACTCTCACTGAGCCCATGAGTCCCGTTCGTGACGTCACGGATAGAGGCCCGACTCTACGTGCACTTCCGGGTTTCAGACTTAGATATTTTGGTAGAGTTTACTCGAATAAATTCATTATTCTAAACTTGTTTTGTCGGGTGGACACCATTTGGTGTTATTATGGGGGTTAAAAGCTTTCTATTTATGTAATTATCTCAGTATTTGGGATTGTCTTAGAGTATCAACTTAAAAAAAAAAAAAATTTTAAAGGCCACTAAAAGGAGACACTAAACTGCTATGGGTTAACATACTTGTCCTGGTTTGCGACAAAGTCTGCCTCTCCTAGCTTCTCCATCACCCAGCCCGGAGCAAAGATGGCCGTCGAGAGACCCTGCCTCTTTATCACTTCCATAGCCTGATGGACAGAAACAAAAAACAAGTCTGACAAGTCTAAAAGAATAGAATTTAAAGCCTGTCTGTACTAGTTTGGCCTTGAGGGATTAGACCACCCAGCATAGTCACTGACAGGTGGCTATCTTATTAATTCAGCTCTCAATTAACATAAGAAAAAGAGGATCATTGGGGACCAACGGGCACCACTTAGTCATTGTTTTCTATATAGAGGGAGCAAGTAGCTACAACTTGTACAGTGGGGCTTTAAAGAATAAACTCAGGTGGGGGGGTTTGAGGGGAGGGAATTGTCCTGAAAGATGATTGGAAGTGGGTTGGAAGTGGTACTACACAGGTTGTTATTGTAGAATCACAAATTGCAGGGAGGAGGAGGAGGAGGGGGGGGGGGGGGGGAGGGGGAATGACGAGTTTGGGGAATTGTCCTAGCAGTTAACTAGAAGTTGAGGTGTGAGTAATCCTAAAATCACTTAAGTTAATCAATTAAAAGAGGGAGAGAGTGAGAGAGAGAGAGAGAGCTTTATTGGATTCATGTGATACATAAGGTGGACTAAAAAAATTACCCGGTATTGTACGTCCTGTGACCTTTCAACTAACCCTGTAAGTTGGGGCTTTGATCGGATCGGAAGATCAGGGCCACACCCTCGCAACTGTGATCGGTACGCCAATTTTTTAAATTTGTATATATATATATATATATATATAGATTTTTTTGTAGGCATGCATTATAATCCAAGATGGCGGCCCACATGTTTTGCCTCTTCTCTTGGACCAATATTATCAATTTTAAAGTCATGAAAAGGCACTAAATATCAACAAACATGGTCTACAACAACTCCAAATTTGTCGGCATTAAAAAAAAAATTAAAAAATTACGACATTTTTTCTGATCATTTTTATTGATCGGAAATTATTATCCGATCACCCCTGATCGGCTCAAGATCAGCCCCCGATCCGATGACCGTTTACAGGCCTACTTTCAACCCCATAAGTCAATACTATAGATAAACCATGATGTGACAGTACCTTGTTAGTGTTCCATCCCCCACCTCCAAAGCAGTTCCTTCCAAAGATATCCACCCCAACATAGACGTCGTGCTTTCGAGGGCCGGCATTCTGTACAGAGCTGGCCAATTTGTTCTCATTCCATGTGTAGTTCAAGAAGATGGCGTCACTGGCATCAAAGAAGATTCTGCAGAATGAATTCAACGTTCAAGAAAAGACTTCACAATTTTTTTTGAAAAGAAAGTAACTACAGACGACTCCTGCAATTCCTTGACATTTGGCATAAACCCTCCATTTATCAATACATCCTTCATGTACTGCAATGAGTAAAACCTAATACAGTCAAACCTGTCTACAGCAAACTGCCAAGGGAAACGCAAAAAGTGTTCTTTATAGACTGGTGGTCTTTTTAGTTTACTTTAGTACATGTTTCAATGAGAAACCATATTCAAGGGAAACAAAAAATGTGGTCTTTGCAGACAGGTGGTCACTAAAGCAGGTTCGACAGTATTTATCCTTAAAATTTCACACAAATCAACTTTTCTGTTCCATTTGTATGTATAGAGTCTATTGTTCAATCACATAAAACATAATGGGCTGTTGGTAATGAAATATCATTAAGTGGTGATAATAACTGAATGATAAGAATCAGATGTATTTCACTTAAAAGCTCATCATCCCAAAACACCTCTACTAAATCAAACTGGGAAATCGGAATAGCTTGAATATTATATTTCATTTTACCGGTAATAAAAGTATTTATCTCTTTTGTCACTCTTCCAACATTCACCATGCCTACCTGTTGTTATCATTCAGCATGTCCTGCCAGCGCAGCGAGCCGTCGGCAATGACGCTGTCATACCATATGACCTTTGACCCTTCAATATGTTGATGCATCTGCTTGGTGAGGTACTGCACGAAGAAAAGGAGCTGGGGCATGTGCTCTGGCTGTTGAAAGAAACAGAGAAAGGAAGAACCGTTCTGTAAAACGGTCAGATATCGACAATCTTTGATGATGGAAATGACATGCCCCTTCAAAAAAAATCACAAGTATTGATGAGGGTAGCTCATAATTTTAAGGCAGCGTCTTTAAATACTTTGCCAAACTTAAAGATTATTTCAATTTCTAAGACTTAAATTTTTAGCTTCATAAAGGTGCCCACTTTTCCAGCAATCAATAAACCTTGGAACAAAAAACGTTTCAGATTCATTCCAGATAGCAAAAACAGGGTTCTCCCCCAAATAATGGTAATAATACTTTTTTTAGCATGGGAAATTTAGAAGAAAAAAAATACTAAGGGTACGTTATTCCCTGGCTTGGGTCATAAATGAGTCAATGAAAGATTTTAACCTAAAAAAAAGTCTATGTCCTCCAAACAATCCAAAACTTGGATATTGCAATCCTTGAAGGCATGGAGCAGAAGGTCCTGGATTCAAAACCACCATGATGAACTAAATATCCCTCAGATAGGGCTATTATGCCTGCTTTCTGAACAGTGTGGCAAAATGATATCCTCCTCCTCCTCCTCCTCCTCCTCCTCCTCCTCCTCCTCCTCCTCACTATCACTCTCACCCTCACCCTCATCATCATCACCAACACCCACACCCACACCCTCACCATCCTCATCATCATCACCCTCACCATCATCATCATCACCCTCACCCACACATTCACCCTCACCATCCTCATCATCATCACCCTCACCCACACCATCATCATCATCATCATCATCATCATCATCATCATCACCACCACCATCCTCATCATCATCACCCTCACCCCCACCCTCACCATCATCATCATCACCCTCACCATCCTCATCATCATCACCCTCACCCTCACCCACACCATCATCACCCTCATCATCATCATCATCATCATCACCATCACCCTCACCCACATCATCACCCCCCTCAACACCACCCTCACCCTCACCACCACCACTACCACCACCACCACCACCACCACCACCACCACCACCACCACCACCACCACCACCATCATCATCTCAATCACAGCCAAGTGTAGACAAAACTTCCAACAGAAACATTGCTTACTGGAATGGGGTTCTCAATGTTGATGAGCCAGCCTTCAAAGTTGTAATACTTGGCGATCTCGACCAGCTTGTCTGCAAATCTCTTGCACGCGGCCTCACTCCCGTACATCTCCGCACACCTCTTCTTCCCATCTTGCCATTCAGTGATAACGGTTCCTGTGAAAACAAAAAAAGTTGCATGTAAAAAAAAAAGTAGATTTTCTTTTGTGTGTTTTAAGACAAAGGAGAAGTGAGCAATGTAGCTCTGGACAACTGACAAAGAGCTTTGGTGAAAAACATTTAAAATCACTACAATAAAATTTCAAGATTACATTAGCAAACCGAAACAGAGCTCCAGAAAATAGAAAACTATATATGTATACATGTATATATTCTTACAATGGCTGGGGTCAGAGTGAGAACAATGCTTAAGCAGTACTAGAGAATAGAGAAAGAGGATCTACATGTGGTGCAAGATCAGTGATACATGTAAGAAATAGGGAGGGTGGAACAATATATTGCACATTCATTTTACTTCTACATCTTTAACGAAAGAAAGCATAAGAAAAAAATAAATTGCTTGTCCAACCTATCAAATAAGTGAATGATTATCAAGTTATTGATGCAAAAAAAATTTGTAGGACCATGAATTTATTTTGGTGGCTATGGGACAAGGGAGTTTGCAGGCACACACCCTTGTCAGACGTTGTGCATAACTAAGAATGTCTGCACTAGTATGAGACTACAAGTGTCGAATTAGAATCTGAGCTTGAAGACTAAGTAAGGGCAAGGGGGCACGTGCATGAGAGGGAGGGGGGTGGGGTGCTCACCAAGCATGAGGGTGCCGTTCTTATGAGCAGCATCCGTCCAGCAGGGTGGGGGAATGGTCACAAAATGATGGCTGAAGTAGATGAAGATGTCAATGTATTGCCAGTGGTAGAAGCGGTAGGCAGAGCTGATGGGTACGCCTTGGACAAATCTGTGATGACGGAAAGGGAATGGAGTGAGGATGTGTCAGGAGTATTTTTGGGATTCATTAATAATTGTGCATGGGGTACACTGTATTATAAATGTTGTACTCTTCACTACCTACTTACATTTACATTGTCATCAAAGTGCTTTTTAAGAGAAAGACTTTTTTGGGGGGGGGGGGGGACAAAACCTGAAATTCTGTGCATATATAAGAGTATTTCTGCAATAATAAATCCCAGTTTTCAGCATTTAAACATCTTGGGATATTAATGAACATACCCTGGGCTCGACCATAACATGTTTCCAGGACACATGCTTTATAGAGCCTGTATTCATGAGCCATACATGTATGTACAAAAATGTTTTTCCTTTTTGTTGGGGGGGGGGGGGGTCCCGACATAGATTCTGAGTGCCCACATGTCCCTGTGCCTGTCAGTGTTGAGTCCTACACATGAAGGTCAGAGGTCACGGCAATATCTTTTCCACATGACTTCTCCATATACTGGTACAGTCAATCTTGCTCACCTGTCATCAATGTAACCCCCCTTCATGTCATGACAAACAAGGGTCATAGGTCGAGGTTCAGCGGGGGTCGTTGGAGTAGCCAGCGGGGAATTGGCAACGTTGAACTGGTCATCTGGTTGCCATAACAAGACTTCATCTAGACTATCGAGAGGACGAGTGATGGGCTCCGAAGTCTTGGGTTCAAAACGGTTTCCTTCAAAGTGAGAGAAAAAAGGTAGTAAATTGTAAGCTACATTATACCATAACCTTGAGCAGATTACTACTGTAAATTTCAACAGAAAATACTTTTTTGGGGAACAAAGTGCTTCATTCTAGCTAAACCTCAATGATATAGCGTCTGCTGTGTAAGTTATTTACGTAATTTTAGTCCCAAACACCTTACAATGCAAGTGCATTATATCAAAAAATTGTGCAAAAAAACAAAAAACAAACTCTGGGTTGAGCTATCCTTGATTCATGACGAAAATGACGGGATCAGATGTCGATCTGAAATTTAATTTTGATTAAATAGAGTCCACAAATCAAAATTAAATTTCAGAACTATATCTGAAAGTTACACAATTTGGTATCATTTTTTACAACTGATTTTGGTTTTGCTGTGGAGAAAGCTGATTACAAGGTATTAAGCAAGTTTAGGAAAATTGGTTTGTTAGTTGGTTCTGCCGGAGAAACAAACACATGCAGTGTGTAAACAACAGCAGCTGTTTTCACGTTGGCGTTGCTAATTTGATACTTAATTTATGCACATTCGGCACATGCAAAGATTTTGGGCCTTTATTTTATACACAGCTATTAATAATAGCTGTGTAAAAATTGTAATGAAAGTATCAAATTGGCAGTGTGAGAACAGTTGTTTTCATGTAGCCTATACTGCGTCTGTGTGTATTTGTGTTTCCAGCGTGTATTTGTGTTTCCGGCGTGTATTTGTGTTTCCGGCGTGTATTTGTGTTTCTGGCATGTATTTGTGTTTCCAGCCAAAATGCGGACGATCCTTATTTTTTTAGGACATGATTTGTACGCGTTTACGAGGATATCCTCGTTTATGCGGACGATCCTCATTCTCGGACCAGCGCCCCTACTGGCTGGGCCTATGACTATGTATGGGGTTGGTGTTCTCACAACACCAACACCAGCTTGCGACACTAAATTTAAAGTAACTCAAAGGCTCAGCCAGAGCGAGTGTGAAGGCATATTTAGCCATGAAACTTGGTACTGCAGGGCAAGCTGCAGGCAGCACTGGCGCTGCTGCAGCCTGGCTAGGCTCTCCACAAAAAAACCGCACAGGCGCAGGCACGCCCCATGGCCACTCCACTGCACAGGCACAGCCTTAACACATTAACACTGACTGCCACAACACAGGCACAGCTCAGCTCGAATTTTCAGCAGCGGAATAGATCTTAAAATTGAATGACAATAATTACCTAGATCAGGATAATCAGTAATCTTGACCTTCGACATGAATTCAGCAGCAAGGTCTTTCTGTTCTCCCTGGGACGACATTTTGAGTCTTCCTCGAAATACTCCGGATCCGGATCTAAGGGTAACAATTTGACTATGGCAAGCCACTTGTTCACAAAAATGCAAAGAAAAAGAAGAATACGTTTTTTTCATAGAGATATATATATATACTACTAATATATATCTCTATGGTTTTTTAAATAAAAATGATTATGTATTAAAAGGCTTGGGGGGGGGGGCTGTTTTTGGTTTTAGGGCAATTAGACAACCGAAAGTCATTTTCCCCTAAACATTGGGTATGATTTTGGGGATTTTGTGCTGCAAAATCCCTTTAAGTGCTCACACTTTTCAGATCTTGGGTTTCTATTTTCTTCGGGATATATATAAAGTGAAAATTCCAGATGCGAAATCTCGCAAAAATAATTGAAATAATTTCGCTTTCAGTGGCCAAAGTCCTCGCCCATGGTCGCACAGATTTATCAATATCATTAATTTTGAGCTTAGCTTCTGACTAATTAATAAACGGGTAATCCCACCCAGAGTCGGCGCTCCCGGGGGAGGGGGGGGGGGCACAGCTAGTGCTCTCACTTTTTTTGACAAGTGCCCCTATTAATTTATAAAAGTGCCCCTTCCCCTTTTCATTCTCATTAGTGCCTTTTTAAATCTCTAGTAAGTTCCCCTGTTCAGGTACGAGAAGCGCCTCTTTTCACTTTTGATAAACACCCCTTCACCTCTGATCATTGGCCTATTCAAATCTGAGACGTTCCCCTTTTGCTTTGACAAGTTCCCCTTTTCCTTTGTAAAAAGTGCCCCTTCCCCTTTTAATAACTACCTCTTTTTAACTTGGATAAGCGCACCTTATATTTTCACATGTGCCCCCTTTCCTTTTCCTTTCCTTATGATAAGTGCCCCCATTTAAAAAAGAGCCCCTTTCCCTTCTCATAAATTCCCCTTTTCATCTATGAAAATAGTTCCTTTTCATTCTCATAAGTGTTCCTTTTCATCTCTTGTAAATTACCCTATTCAATTCTAAGAGATACTCGTTTTACTTTGACAAGTACCGGCCCTTCGATCGATCCCCTCCTGTTAAGTGCTCTTTTAAAGATAAACTCCAGTACTGGTAAAAAAAAAAAAAAAAAAGTTCTCACAGAATCAAACGAAACTTACACTGAATGTTCAAGATTACAAATAAATGACATGTGCCAAACAATTTTGGAAGAAAATGTATACTGGCTGAGTAATGAGCATAGAAAGACAAGGAAATCAAGGAAGTACTAGCCCCGACACCATGTGTGTTGTCCCATATATAGCTTTCTATGTGAGTGCTTGTTACTTTACCAAGACTCGGTCAAATTTATTATGATTTTGATGACTCCAGAACCTTGCAGTGCACCCCAATACTTACATGCTACATGATCAACTGTTTCTGATCCTTTCCACACTTTCACAATGCAATTAATCGCATTACCATAAGTTTATCTTTAATCTCTTATAGATGCCCCTTTATTTTGACACGTCCCCCTTTTCCTTCCGAATAAATGCTCTTTTCCCTTCTTATAAGTGCCCCTTTATTTTGACACGTCCCCCTTTTCCTTCCGAATAAATGCTCTTTTCCCTTCTTATAAGTGCCCCTTCCCATTCTCATAATTACCCCTTTTCATCTTTGATGATTGCCCCTATTAAAATCTGATCGGTGCTCCTTTTCTTTCAACAAATGCACATTTCCCTTTATCTTTAGTGTACCTTTTTCATTCTCATAAGTGCCTCTTTTCATGTATGGCCATTGCCCTATAGCTTTCAACGCTCAAAATACACGGGGGCGGTGGGCGATTCTCCCCCGCCGTGAGCTCCATAATCGCCCCCGTCCGGTTGCTCACGGGGGCGATTGCAAAATTAAAAATCGCCCCCGTGGAATTATAAAATAAAGATTATCTTTTCTGATATAACTTTAACACAATATTGAGTATCAATTTTCAAACCTTAAACCAATGAAATGGAACTTAGATGGCGCTATCTCTCCCATCTCTATGAGTATTACCAAAACCAAAAAAAAAAACGGAAGCTCGATTGTGCGGCCGTCAGCAGTGGCTATACTGCGCCGGTAATACAGGTTTGCACGCTTACGCCCAATATCTGCTGGAGCTGAAGACGATCACGCAAAGACTGAAATATGCAGAAGTTTTTCGTTGTGAAAAGTGTGAATCCTCTGAAATCTGGTGATTCTAAGGACCAGTAAATCAATATCGAGAAGAAGAACAAGACCAAAGATGTTGCAGGGGCGGATCTAGGTGGTTGAGGGGGTTTAACCCTCCTACCCCCCCCAGGCGCGGATCCAGGATTTCTTAGGGGAGGGAGCCCAACTTTTTTTTTTTGCTCCCGAAAATTTGAAAATCGCGCCGGCCAAAAATTCGCTCAGTGGGGGGGGGGGGGGGGGGGGGGGGGGGTAGTGAGCACATTTTTTTTTTTTTTTTTTTTGATCCTCAAAAAAAAATTCAATTTGAACCCCCCCCCCCCTTGAGCGCCAGGGGGGGGGGGCCCAACCCCCAAAAAAGGTAAAAATCACGTGATTTTACATGATTTTTTTCTCAAGGGGGGGGGGCCGGGCCTCCCGGGCCCCCCCCCCCCCCCCTGGATCCGCCACTGTACCCTCCTCCCCCTTGGGCTGTCAAGTGAAAATGTGATGTGCATAGAAAAATGCCATCAATATTGTGTCCAGACCTACACAGTATAGATGTCAGTAGATGCCAGGAAAGCATCACTTACGGGGGTTCAAAATAGCACCAAAAAATGCTCCGCATGTTAGTAGATGTCAGGAAAAGATCACTGTCTTACGGGGGTTCAAAATAGCAACAACAAAAATCGCCTCGCCGCTACGCGGCTCATGAACGATAAATGATAATGATAAAAAACAAGGAATTTAGGAGATTCATGGGTACCAATTCAATGGAAATTTGTATTAAAATAAGAGCCCCCGTCAGCACTAAAAGAGCCCCCGTGAGAAGGTTCACGGGGGCTCTTTTGGGGGGAAAGAGCCCCCGTGGACAAAAATCTAATTTGAGCCCTGGCCCCTTTTCAGGTTCGATAAGTGCCCATTTTCATCTGTGATAATTAACCTGATCCCTTTTCATAAATGCCCAAATTCAAATCTGATGGTTGCCTCTTTTGTACTCTTTGTACTTAATTGACACGTGCTCCTTTTATATTCAAATAAGTGTCTTACCCCTTCGACTTTTCCTCTCATCATTAAACGTGCCCCTAATTTCAAGCGAATAAGAGCAATATCTCCAAAAGCTCGCTCGCTACGCTCGCTCACATTTATAGATGTTGTAATTATATGTTACTTATCAAAGGTCTTTTCAGTTTGCTGTTATGAGAATGTGCTTATTTATAACCCGATGAGGATTGGTTTTTTCCTCTTTATAAGATTAAGATGTAGTTTTCGCACTGCGAGGGATGTAAGGGTTTTTCCCATCACGCAGTGAAGTTGGCCCGATTGATTGGGGAAAACACACATAGTTTCTTGTATGCAAAATTTACAATAAAGACCGAATTTCAGCTCCCAGAAATCTCGAAGATTAAAAAACACAAACATGAATGTAATTAAACGTATGTCCTGTTTGTTGTTCTATAACGACTGAGTAGGCTACTACTACTACTAATAATATATATGCTTTAGCTATATTAGCTAGGCTAATCATCTTTAATTATGGATCCTATAGCTCAAGAAGAAGAAATAGTTGATCTGCATGCACTTGTAGGCTATTATTATGCATCATCATTATCATCATCATTATCATCATCATGGCTTCATCATCATCATTATCATCATCATATCATCATCATCGTCATCATCATCATCATCATCATCATTCCCGTTTCTTCAATAATTTTAGCAAAATATATTTTCGTGCCCCCCCCCCCCCCCGGCACAAAAAAAGTACGACAGGCTGCTATTTGGGGGGAATTGATTCACTTTTGGTAAGTGTACATGACAAAGTATATGCCTATACTTCCTTCTTTTGGAGCTGGGGAAGCCTGGGCTGAAGCAACAATTTAGGAGGAAATGGATAGGCAAATATACTCCCCGCTCTATATGTGCCACATGCAACATCGGGAAAAGACAGATCAGCAATTTTCAATAAAATAGATTGGCCCATCATTGCCACATTCCTTTAAAAAAAAAATTAATGTCGTTATTACGAAATGCTATTAAAGTAAATTTTAGAAGTGTTCTCATTTATTTAATTAAAACAACTCTCTGGGTGGAAAACTGCTGTCGCGGTGAAATAGTTTGAAAAGAAAACAAAAATTATAAATTTCCGGTAGAGACTTGCCATGTGTCACCTTTCTGATGGCAAACTCTAAACTCTAGACTGTAAACCCCGATAACATTTCGCTGCTTCTCAAACAAATATCGATTGGCCATATAAACACACGGCATTGAGTCATATTTTGTGGGTTCAGCATCGCACGCCACGTCAACTCAGCCATCTTTCGAACTTGACAGACAAAACCGGCATATCATCATGAATGTCTTTCGATTAGTTGGGGATCTGTCCCATCTTTTGGCAATAATTATGCTTTTAAAGAAGATATGGTCATCAAGGTCTTGTGCAGGTAAGAAATTATCGCTTAAATTGTCTTGGATATTAAATGAAGTGCCTTGATCTGATTAAATGACGGTTTCAAATCGCCGCTAGTTGCTCCATAGCGAATGTGTGTTGTGTGTTGTGTGTGCAGCTTCGAAGAAAACAAATTTGTTGTCAGAATACACTGATTTCTTGTGTTTGCAACTAAAATTCATTGTATTTCCCATTTGTAAATATCATTCATTTATCATAATACTATACTAATATAATTTTAATAAACAAAAGTGTTATTTGAGGTGAGAGGTTGTCGTGCAAAAACTGCAAATTGAGTAGTCTGATGACAAAATTTAGTCTTATCGGTTGGTAAGGTCTAAGGAAGCCAGCTGATAGCTAGCGCGTAGCGGAGACATGTCGCCGCTACCCCGTCGGCGCGGGCGGTGAATGAAGGTGGCCTTTGCAATTGCGCTTGGCCGTCATCGGTTAACTTCAAGCTCTTTCGCCAGAGAGCTGGAGGAGGCACATCATCAGAATGCTGGGAGTCAAACATTTATGAAGATCGAAGATGGAATTTATTAGATCTGTGTTCAAATTGAGATGATGTCTGAAGACTGATTTATATTTTTATTCAGGTTAACAATTGATAGATCTAGATCTAATTAATACTTTAATTTTAATTTAATACATTAATGTCAATAGACAAACCTACCGACTTACTGTTTTTTCAGGAAGCTGCGTACTATTACTATTAGCTTAGCTTTGACTCCTTTGAGCCTATCTTTTTGTACTTGTAGGTCTATACCAGATTTGAAAGCTCAAGTCAAAGTAACTTAAAGAGAAAGTTGAGTTCTGGGAAGAGGTGAAAAATAATTTGTGAGCATTACTCATTCTTATTATGCAAGTGTGGAAGAACATCAGTTAAGACATGTTCCCTGAAAAGCATGGCTCTTCAAATGCCTTCATATTCTAAATATGCATGTAACATCGTAAAAATCGGGGGGCCGGCTTTTTACGCCACGTGTTTGTGTAGTCCCATATACATTTTTCTGTGCAAGTGTTTGTAACTTTACCAAGACTTGGCCACATTTCTTATCATTTTGATGATTCCAGAACCTTGCAATACACACAAATTCTTATATGCTAGATGATCAACCTTTTCTGGTCAGTTCCACACCGTTTCTTTCACAATGCAATCGCATGACCAGAACTCAACTTCATCTTTAAATAAATTAACGAAGGCCAAGGCCAGGGTCTATGGAAAAATGAAAAATAAATTCAGTAATCCAATTTTTCTCCTGTATGAGGTAGTAGAATTATGCCTTAATTCCATTCTTTACAAATATAAACTTAAATTTGTTGTAGGCGAAGTACTTATTGAAGTACATTGTTGCTCGCTGAAATTTGTACACCTGGCAATGGTGAGTTTGGGTCCATACATGTAGTTTAGGACTTCTCTTCGTTCTCTACACCAGCCCACTGTCTAAGGTCATTAACTCTCACCATGGGATTCAACATGCGATGTACGCTGACGACACTCAGATTTATATAACTCTTAAGCCTAACGGGAAGGATGATGCGACTCGGGAACTCAGCAGTTGCCTTGAAGACATTAGGTTCTGGTCTTCTAACAATACACTTTACCTTAATGAACGAAAATCTGAAATGATCCACATTACTTCCAAATTCAGAAACACCGATTCCTTCCCCGACTTGTTTACCAGAGGTGGCTCACTGAAGGGTAGTGAATACGTTCGAGACCTGGGTGTTTTAATCGACAAAAATCTTACTTTTCAACAGCACATTAAAAACGTATGTAAATCGGCATCTTTTGGAATCTTCAAAATTGGGAAAATTAGGAAACTACTTGACCGGCCCACAACTGCAAAATTAACCCATGCATTTGTATCCTCCCACCTTGATTATTGTAATTCAATTTTTTCTGGTCTTCCGCAATCGTCCCTGCTTCCACTTCAAAGAATTCAGAATACTGCTGCAAGGCTTGTTACTCTCTCGAGAAAGTTTGAGCACATAACCCCAATATTGCGTTCTCTTCATTGGCTTCCCATACACCATCGTATCACATTCAAAGTTCTTCTTCTTACATACAAAATTCTCCATGGCCAAGCCCCTAAATATCTTTCAGATTTGATTTCCTTACGTTCTTCTAGTTCTTTAAGACCTCTTCGATCATCATCAACCTTGCAGTTAACCCTCGGACCTCGTACCGCTACAAAATATGGCGACCGAGCTTTCTCAGTAAATGCCCCTATCCTTTGGAACAAATTACCAGCGCACTTTCATAATATTCATTCTCTCGACCAATTCAAGTCCTTGCTGAAAACGCACCTTTTTAATTCATAAATAATACTCTGCAGTTGTGAGTCGGTCAAAGGAGGTGCACACCGTCTTATTTTTTGTTTGTTCGATCCTATGTTTGATCCTATGTTTGACCTCTTGTATGTATGTTTGTTTGATCTCACTCTTATCTTATTTTTTATTATTATATATGCATGATTTATTGAATAAAGAACTGATGTATAAGTTGTGTGTTTATTATAAGTTTTGGTAAATAATTGTTAAGTCAGAATAGAGACACCAGTATTAAGCGCCTTATAAATATTGTTTATTATTATTATTATTTAGGGTATTGAATGATAATTCTTTACACAAGAAATTAAAGGGAAAACAAAAATCAGATTCATGAAGGAAAGAGCACAATGCAATCAGGTAGAATGTTTCACTCGTGTGGGTGAGAGGGGGGGGGGTGTGTCTTCCATGGCTGATATTTAACATCCCTAAGAATATCAAAATACACGCACACACTTGCACTTGAATGTAAAACCACTTTCTGGACTAAAGATTTGAAGTACAAGTACATTGTACTGATTCATTTGACTATTCCCAGAACATATTTGTTTAAAAGAAAATGGAACCTGATGTAAGATTGAAATAATGATTAATGAGAGGGGAGAGAAAAATAGAAAGAAATAATATATTAATTTTTAAAATTATGTAATGTCCAATGGGTGTAAATTGAATTATAGTGAGAAATATTTGTTTTTTTAAATTGGTGTATAAAAACTGACCAGCAGCACAGGCTGAAGTGGTCAGTTTACAATTAAATAATACAGTATGGATAAATAACAGATGTTAATAATGATATAAACAAAGAATGTACAAACAAAATACATGTGTTGTCTACATGTATAATATGAAGCATTATACATTACCAAAGGAGGCCTACACAAAGAGATAAGGAAAGAAATGAATGTACAGAGGGAGATTACTGAGGGAAGAGAGACAGAAAGAGAGAGGGGGTAGAGTGATTTGAACACTAATAGTAATAGGAGGGGAAAGTAAAAGGTGAGAAAGAGAGATGGAGAGAAAGCAGGGGGGTAGATTAAGAAAGTGCATACAATATATGCACATAATACCGTACATTAAAGAATTGTTACTATATTAACACTGCAATGGAAATAAAACATGTATAACACCATAGCTTGAATGTACTACAAACTGCATACATGTAACACAATGCGTTCATTCATATTGGAACATTAAGAGGGGCCAAAATTAGGCAAAGAGATAATGACTTTTATTGTCTTTCTTTGGAGTGGGGGGGGGGGGGGGGGGTTGAAACAATCACTAATCAATTTCGCAAACAATTTGTAAATTTGTCGCTTTCATCAAAGCCTGTTATAAATTTTGTATTTGTCTACAGGTATCTCGGGCAAGTCCCAGCTTCTCTTTGCGCTGGTTTTCACCACCCGCTATCTGGATCTATTCACTAGCTTTATCTCTGTCTACAATACGTCCATGAAAGTCATCTATATTCTCTGTGCCTATGCTACCGTTTACCTGATATACGTCAAGTTCAAGGCTACTTACGACCACAACCACGACACCTTCAGGGCCGAGTTCCTGGTCGTTCCCGTCGGAGGACTGGCCTTCCTTGTCAATCACGACTTCACCCCGCTTGAGGTACTGTACATTAACTTTGTAATGTATTTTGTAACCATAGAAGAGTAGTAGCAAATTGAAACATACCATTGGAAGTTAAATTGAATGTGTGTTCTTTATGTATTCTGATACTAACTAGAGAAATAAGAAACTTTTTTTGCCGGTTTTCTATAGAAATCTAGATAGAAAGCATAACAGAAACCACTAGAGACGTTATAATCCATACAGCTTGAATTATCTTTTTCTTTTTCTATTTTTTTTTTCTTGCACTGAATGATAAGTAGCTACGCATCCATGATATGGGACATAATCTTTCTGAACTACTTTCCGTCTACAGTCTGGCCTTTTTTGATGAGTTGCAACTCTTATCAAGTACATGTGTTGTATCACTTCACTTGACCACTTCAACAAACTAAAAACTTACCTAGAGCCTTCTGTATACCCAAGGGTTCAGGGTTGGCCATGATCTGTTAAAATTTAAGTGCATTAGATATCACAATTTTTACTTACTGAAATGTGTAATAGCAAGGTTCAATCCAGTATGAGGCTGATTTTAAACTGGTTCATCCCCTCATTTCCACAGATCCTATGGACGTTCTCCATCTATCTCGAGTCGGTGGCCATCATGCCGCAGCTCTTCATGATCAGTAAGACCGGAGAGGCTGAATCCATCACCAGCCACTACCTCTTCTGTCTAGGGGGTTACAGAGCACTCTACATCATCAACTGGCTCTACCGCTTTTATTCTGAGGGATTCTTTGATCTCATCGCCATTGTCGCAGGCTGTGTACAGACAATACTCTACTGCGATTTCTTCTACTTGTACATTACAAAAGGTGAGGTTCGTGCGTGCTACTGCTCAGGCTACCACAGGAATATTAATTTTCACACTTGTATATATGGGTAATCTTGATTATCTTTTTAATCATGTATTGGTAAAGGTAAAGGCTATGAAAACAGAATCTTTAATCTGAAATGTTGGCAAATTTGTAACATTTAAGCAAAATACCAGCTTTCAAATATCATTTTTAGTAGACTAATTGATACACTTTTATGGGCAAACACACTCACAGAAGTTAACTTTGGGATAACTTTGGTTGGAGGTACAGTGTATTGGTATGATTAACACTTTTCCCCTTAAAATCTTGAATCCCTAGGTGAGTATTTGAATGTCTTGCATAGTTTGGGGTAGATGATTTTTATTCTTCTAACGATATAACTCGAGCTCCACACAAACTTTCTTGGAAGGGGGACATGATTGAACATTTACGGTCTGCATGCATGAGCCTATGTTAAATTTTCAAAATGTTGGGGGTTCATGCTTTGGTTTGGGTGTCTCAGGCGCCTGTAAGTGTCAAGCCTTGGATATAACTTTTTTTAGGTGATTGATGCATTTAAAACATATTGAGATGAATTTTATCTTGCTGCAAAATGGTTTTGGATACTCCTTGAATCATTTGCCATAAAAATGATAACAATCCTATTTTAACACATTGAATTTCTTTGCATGTTTTTTTCTATTGCAGTTATCTATGGACAGAAGCTCTCATTACCAGCATAAGGAAGCCATTCTCTTCCAACTGTACATGTACATGCAGATGACAATGTCGTAGTGATGTATAAAATTGCTCCTGTCTCACATAGAGAGCAGACATTCTCTTTTCCAACTGGAGTGTACTTGCCATATCACATTAAAGGGACCTGACTTGCGAGAGAGGGAGGACTTGCATATGATAAAAGTAGAGGTTTGACTGTTAAAAAATAAAATTCAATTTAGTGCCCACCCAGAATCTGACCCAGCCCAAAAATATAGATGGGCTGAGAGGGAGTTGTCCCCTAAACACCCGCAAAAGCCACTATCGGTGAAAAGCAGACCACTGTTAAATATAAATAATGTCATTTGAATGAAATGCACATATTTCTCAGTACAACGCAATTCCTCATTGGCAATTGTCTTCCCTTTCTCGCAAGCCATGTCACTAGCATGTGATACTATTGGTAAATTAAAAGTCATAATTTGTATCTATCATGTCATTTGTATTTTTGCTTTTGTTTTTCATACTCCAAATTAAATTTTTGTTGTATTTTACATAATAGTTTTACACTAATTTTTGCAGCTTGGATTTGATTTCAAATCTTGCAAACAGTGCACAAACATTGTGCAAGTCAAGTTAATCAGACTACTGCTTTATTTTAGAACTTGATGAAATATAGGTGCGATAGATTATGGTTTTATGTTTAGTTTCTCATGATTTTTTTCTCATTTGTTTATCTTTTTTTGAAGATTTAGATATTAGATTATCAAATTATTGAAAAGCATCAGTTATTTGGGATGATAACACATGACCTAACATTTATGTATAATGTGGCTAAAAATGGGAATGTCCAATTATTTAATTGCTAAATTTCTTGGTTCTTGGTTGCTAAACTTGGTTGCTGTCTTGGTAATTGGAAAGGAGAATTAATTAGACTTTTCAAGCTTTCGACATACAGGTTCCAGTGTAATTGAGTTTGAGCTATGACGTGTTCATTCTAGCTTTCCAAAGTCAGGAGGGTTACTTGGAGTCTTGGACTTCACTTCTCATTCTAATGTTCTATTATATGTTTTTCATTCGGTTTAATGGCCATATTTTTGGAGTACATGTGATGTCTTCTCTTAAATTGAGGGTATTGAGAACTTTTCTCACTTCATGTAGAGTCAATGCCTTTATTGCCTTTCACTAGCCAATATCAAATCCGTAAAAATGAGAATGTCACAATATATTATGTTACAATCAAATCTCTATCGACTATCATGAATAACCAGAATTGGTCACAAACTAAAATAGAAAAAATAGATAAAAATAGATAAAACTATAAAAAAATTTAGAGGCTTACTACTGGAGAAAGTTGATGTTAAATTCTTCAATTATTACTGTCACTTTTTATTTTTGTTTTTTTTAATTTGTTCTTACTTTTCATGGATAACGTACAATTTTGTGGTAGGTTAATTTCACATCGGCATGTACATGTAAATGCATTCAAATAGTAACCCGATATGTATACATGCACTTGTATTTTTTCCTAAATAAAACACTCTTGTGCATCCATGTACTCTTGTGCATCCATGTACTCTTGTCCATGTTGTATTTCAACTTAGGGCCAGATAGTTATCTTTTTTCTTTACTGTTGTACATAGTAAACTCCTTTGATCTCGGCTCTCAAGAGAACTCATTTTTTTGTGTATATAAACTTGCATCTACAACTGTGGTTTAAAGCTAATTTATCGTTGTTTAGTGTATGAAAGCGGCCAAGTGGAAGGCCTTTGTATCCTCTTCCAAATTTGCATGATTTTGTCTCGTCGTATTTCTTTGTGATATCTTTTTTGTTTGCTCTCTCTCTCTTATACCTAATTATGAAATTGCATATTCAGTTAACTTCAAGACTTAAGAAAACAAACATTCAAAAGTCAAAACCCTATTGAAATTGCTACCAGTCAGCAACCCATAGTATGTAAGCTTTAAAGAGCTCTTCATTTTAAGAAATACTTTCATTGATCTACAGGAATTTATTTTATCATGTTTGATGTGTGAAACATGTACATCCTTCCCAACCCCTTTTGCATAGCTTGTACCTGACTAAAACAATAACGTGATAACAATTTTAAACATATATTTTTCAAGCATGATGAACAAAGAAATGACATGCAAGTGTGCATGCTTGTGTGGTACGATTTACATTTGTGCATTTCAGACAGTTATACATGTACTAAAAAGAATTTGTTTCTTATAGCTTGTTTATGCTTTTAATAAAACAGTGCCTTTTAAAGAATCTAGTGTTTACCGACATCGAATGGTAGGGTATTGCTATGTCTGGAAAACTTATCCCAAAAAAAATCTGATAAAAAAGGAAATGGATTCCTTTAAAACAAAATATCTGTTATTTATTTATTCTTCATAAAGAATAATTTCATTTACCTGGTGCTTAGACATCCTATGTACCGTAATTGTCCTTGCTTTGTTCTGAAGAAAACGAGCAGAAATGTTCTAACAAGTCTGTACCAATGCCATTTGTCTGCCCCACATTTATTGGTTGCGTACATAGAGCTTATTATATAGCTGTATGGTTGCGTATGACTTACATTGTTAGCAATCATTTTCTTAGGATATCCGAGTCAATAAAAGCTGAATGGATGCACAACTCTTGTGTCAGATATTTTGTATTGTCGTTTTCACAATGTTATGGATGTGACTTATTCATTAATTACCTAACAGTTTATTTCTTGTTGAAAACTCATTTCATAAACTCATACTTACAAGCTACCAGTAATCTTCTTTTAAGTCATTAATTCCTAGTCTATTAAGAAAGGCACATTTCTCTTTGAATAACTTGAGGCCCTGTAATGGGCCTATTCTCGGACGTGGTATTTGTAGATTTGTGAAATATGAATGTGTTGAAATTTTACACAGTGGTGTATTCAGTCTCTTATGGAAGCCAGCATACAACCCCCTTGTTAGAAGGCACAAGAAAAAGAAAAACGATTTGCAAGGGGCAACCCCAAATTTTCTCTCCCCTTTTTTAATCAAATTAAACAGTGTAAATTGGTGATTTCCTAGAAAATAAAATAAGGAGAGTTTTCATCAACACGTTGATCATATTTATATACATATCACTTCACATATTAACAGAATATTTGATGCAAATATGTACTTTAATGGCAGATTAAAGGAAATGCATATGATTTTATCGACAAATGCACTTCTGTAAAGAATTCAATTGGAAGAAAATAGAAATTCACGATATTTTTGTACTCGACAATCGGGACATATCCACAGACAAATCCACAGACAGAATTGCCATTTGATCTTCGCAAAGCTATAAAGACTAGAGATCTCATATTTCAAAATATCATGACTCTCTATTTAAATCTTATTTAAAACTTTCGCCACTCTGTATCTTTTTTTTTTCTTCTTTCATACGAATGAACTTATTACAATGGTTGGATTACCCTTTAATTAATTTAAACAAAGGAACATAATTGACACATTATATTATATCATAAACACAGCCATCCCAACATTTTCCAAAAGCAAGCAGGGGCGGTTATGAGCCGACAGAATGTTCCCAAATTACATCCAAAACACAAAATTTGTGTGATTTTCCAACAGCCTGTTTCAAAAAATGAGTTTGCCGACAGGATTGTTTAAAGATACTATGTCCCTTTTGCAGCCAACATCAAATTCTGTAGAACTTTGCTGGAATTATGAATATGTCATACATGTCCTATCTGTGAAATTGAAACGTTAGCAGTGTTCTAGTATTCAAATTATACAAGTTTACTTTCTAGACTTCCCTGTCAGACACTATTGGGTGACTGACTGACATCGTTTTTTCTTTTGTAATAACATACTTAAAATGGCCTGTAACGGGTACATGAGCATTTGTATATATCAATAACACACTACTTTTAATGGCCAAAATTAAACTGATTGAATCCTTGTGCTGCACAAAATGTACGACCATACGGTAAAAGGGTCTGAAAATTAGAATATTACATAGGTGATTGCAATCACTTAAGTCGATTCGACAACTAATTGTCATTATTTTCCCACTAAAAGCCATTTTTAAGACCTTTTGTTTTGAGGGAAGTTCTAAAGTAGTAACGTCTTTCAAAGCTGTCGGAATTTAACTTTTTCATTTTTTATTGGCCTGCAAATGGGACATAGTACGTTTAAAAGAAGTATTACTTCCTCACTCCTTTTCTTGCGACGCCTCTGCTCGATAAAATAATTTCCACTATCATCTTCATTTATGGAATTCGCAGTCGTTTGAGGTGAACTCTGACCTTTGTTCATTCATTATCATCATCGCGGCTATCTTTTATTGGATGTATGGAGTAAACTTGGCGTTCGTCCGTTGGTTGAAACGCAGATAGAGCAAATAACAATACCTGCTATGCAAACTTGTAAGATAAAGCTCATGTTTGCTCGTCTTGGCCTTCATTCAAGACCCCCATTGGTAGGCTGACTACCATAATTCTGATTCTCAGGCCTGATAATTACCCGATTTAAATCGGTTTCCCTCTCAATAACCATTTTTTTTCCCTTCCCGATGTTGTCCCTATTTTCCCAATTTCCCCTCATTTTCTCTATTTTCCCCTATTTCTGCCTATTTTTTCCCCATTTTCTTATTCAAAAGGGGGAATGTCGGCACCCCCCCCCGAATCATCTTTCTTTTTTTTTACTCAAGGGGTGCGTGGTTGAGGTAGAACCCCCCCCCCCCTTTGTAGTGCTTACTTTCACCCTTGTACTCTACTCGAGATATCAAATCTTGAAGTAATTCAGAGAAGTTAATAAAATCAAGAAGGAATATTATATACCCGTTTCAATTTGTTTTTATTATCTTGTGGATTCTGTCGGTTCTTGCAAACAAAAGAAGAAACTACTTGATCCTGTAAGTCGTTATGATCTTGCGGAGGCGTTAATACAAATTTCCATGAAGTCATGAAAAACTGCAGTGCATGTAGGAACCAGGAGGTCGAAACGGCTGCCCCATTGAGAAAATAACCAGTACAATGAGCATAAGCTTTTTATTTATGGAGCCCCCCCCCCCCCCCCCCCCCCTCTCCTGAGCATTGGAGTGCAATAATATTAACGAAGATATTGCCGCTGAAAATAATTTCTGCTGGAAAATCGAGCCATTTTTTTTTCTCGTACTCCTTCCCCTCCCCTACTGGCAAACCTATATTTTAGCAGAATACGGGAAGAAACATCACAATCAAGTAAAATACATTGTCTTTGTGGGTCATATTTAATCCCTATACTCTGCATATTTAATCCCTATACTCTGAATTTTGGCACATGAATTCAAAGTACGACTTATTATTATCTGCTCCAATCTTAATTCCTTAATCCAATTTTCTATAATAATGGGGATTACAGAAGGTCACGCCCTGAATACTCAATAATAATGTTTACAATCATAAATGACTCATTTTTGTAATATGGTTACGGTGACAAATGAATATGTTAGGCCTTAATTTTGAAAGCAAAACAAAATTACTAGCTCCTTTAGTTTAATGATAAAAATAATAGTTACCGTCTCTAGGCGTTTTACAGACTATTACCCCGATCATTGAATTCATTCACACACAATTGCACCATGTCCACTCCCGGGTGACTATAGTATCAGTTCCGTTAGGGCATTATGATATGGTAATTACTAAAACAAAGGCTTTCGTCAACCACGTCCCCATTATTTTCTCTCCTGTACTCTTAAAATGGTGGTCCCAAAATTACCACGTCGTGGTCGTTTTTAAAGGTGCATAATTATGGTTGACTACCAAAACGTGGTTAAAAACGACCACGACGTGGTCATTTTTTTACCACGTATTTTTAAGAGTGTGCATGGGTATGGAGTGGCAATGCATAGATTAATGCTTTGACAAAAGACTGAGCCTAGAATTTGAATTTAAAGGCAGAAATTAAACAGCTTAACCTATTCTACTAACAAGAAATAGTAGGATCACATATCCTTGTCATCAGGACACTGCCAATGAGGCGATGTTGGGGTGCGGGAAGGGCCCCTATATATCATCTTCTTTTCTCGTCTTTCCATCCAATCTCTTTCCCGTTGTCCCCTGCTCTGTCTGCAAATCACATCACAGCTATATAACGCAGCTTTCCAGGCACTGTAACGCGCCCATGCTATAGATCTAAATATTTGTAATAGAGTTAATAAATGTGGTAAATTGATTCGAATTCATACCCTTTAACTAATTGAAACGACACGTCCTCACTTTTCGATTGGGAATGTTCAAATCAATACACAGTTGACGCTGTAACCCAATTGTATCGAATCTTTTACATCGAGATAAATATATATTGGATGCGCCTCAGAAATGGATAACAGAAATCAGATCGAAGTTCAACTCCCTTTTGACGAATGGTTCAAGCTACCTCGATTGACCTTAATGATCTCAAAGGTCGTTCCCATGTGTGGCGAACATTCACAGTGATTTCGAGCCAGTATTCTTACTTATAGGACAAAACTTTATAGAGTTATTCATTTACGTCCTGATCCTGATCCGTGGTGTGTACACGTCGAGCTATTTCTTGGGCAGTATATCTTTAATTGATTGAGGCGTGTTGGTAAGTACAATATCGTGTCATTCTATTACGTTATAATGAACATTATGAATGGTGCATATATATACGAAGTATTACAGTATAATGATTGTGTATCCGCTGTGACGGCTGTACAAATCAAGTGTAACTGATACAAAGATTTTGTAGATAATGATGTAGTAAATAATAGTATCACACGATCAGCTAGAAACTACATGCACCGTCTTTCTGAGGAGATCAAGTTAATTGCGCTATTTCTATTATTTTATCAGGGTATATACGAAAACATGTGACTCATGGCGAAATGGGAACATAATCATGGAACCCCATGTATATATTGAGGTAACTATATTCTGTGTATATGGAGGTTAGGAGGCGTGGCTCCGATCGTTTGTACTTTATTTTTCAACCATGACTTGTGTTTGCTGTGAGGTCAGTTTATTTTGGAAGATATATGTTTCTACCCCCATGCACGCATATTGGTGTTGTGGTTTCTGCCGAGTATATATTCCCGATCTCTTATTAGCATTCAGCTCCTTGAAAAAAAGTGGGGGAGATTAGATTAAATGAATGTATTAAAGACGAAATGAAGAGACAAATAAAAGAATATTCAAGTTCATTTCTCAGAACCATAATAAAAAACATGTTTTATTGTATTATGATTTCAGTCGGTCCTTTTTGCTATCAGAACTCATAATGTCAGCTAACATTGCATTACAAATGTATCTCTGTTTCTCTCATCTCTCTGTCACGGTCTTTATGTCTGTGTATCTGCCCGTCTCTCTCTCTCTCTCTCTCTCTCTCTCTTTAATACCCTGTCTTGTTACATTTTGTCCCTGTCACTCTCCTCCGGGACTCTCCCTCTCTCTCCGTCTGCCCCTCTTCACTCTCCCCTCCCCCACGCACTCACCCTCTTTCTCTCTCTCTCTCTCTCTCTCTCTCTCCCTCTCTCTCTTTCTGATGTAGCCTTAGTATCCCTGACGATGAACTGCTCACTCCCATCCCTGCTTTCGGCCTTGGTCGTAATCCTGGTCGCCTTTGACTTCGTTCAGGGTGAGATGAAACCAACCAAATTTGCAAAAGGTAAGAAATCGACGAGGAAGCACATAGATCTAAATCAATAAACTGAATATACCAAAATCATGTCGAAAATACGGAATCCTATCAAAATCGAGATGAAATTGATACTTCAGTTTCACCGCAATGAGCTACAAAAAGTTATATTGAATTCTTCTATTTCACTTTCGTTTCTATGAGTTCTGAGTTGGAGAGCTAAAGGGGAGGGAGAATGATTTCAGTACCGTATATAAGAGCTCGGGAATTATAATGATTAAAGGAATATCCAACCTTGATAACGAACTACTTGAAAACTTTCGCCATTCTATTTATCTTATTTGTTTGCTTTTATATAAATCAACTTATTACAATTAAGGGTAATTGGATTGCTCTTTAAGGGCTCTTATAAAGTTAATTTAAGACTAGCTTAAAGTGGTTTACTGATGAATGAAGTAACCGTGTGTGTGTGGGGGGGGGGGTGGGGCGTACATTCAAAGACTGGGGTACAATTTTGTGTAAAATAATTATGTCACATGGTTTTCGTTGCCTATAACATGGTATCTATCTATACTTTTATATGTTGCTAACTTATTGTTTGTGTTTTGAATTAATGATATTTTGTCGTAACTTCGTTTTCTTCTAATTTTCATTCTAATTATATTGTTTCCACTCCCACCGACCCCTTCTCTCTCTCTCTCTCTCTCTCTCTCTCTCTCTCTCTCTCTCTCTCTCTCTCTCTCTCATTCTCCCACCTCCCCCTGTCTCTTTCCTTCTCTACATGGGAAATTGCTCACTCAAATACATGTTTTTAATTTCTTTTCGACAGAGGTCGTTTGCGAAGGCTGTCACGCTGTAATAGCAGGTAAGGAAATAACATACAATGTACTAAACAAATTCATGGCACAAATTATATCCAAATGCGAAGTAATTTATTGATTGCAAAGCACAATGAATTTCGCTTCGACCGTCCTGATCAAATTTTGAGAATTCAAATGAGTCATTAAATACTCTTCGTATATTGTTCGTTTCGTAATATAGTAACATTATAATAAATCATTCTCTGTAAAATAATATTGCATTGGACCAAATAAAAATATTTTTCTCTGCTTATTATTCCACCACAGTCTCATGCTTACCCTCATAATGTACATTATTTATTACAAATCGCGACCATTAATTGTCTAGTCCCCAT